TCCAGAGCCTCTGTCTCCCAGGAGGCAGTGACATGTCCACCTTACAGAGTTGTCTGTGGTCTGTTTTGGGTCCCACAGTGGGTCATGTTCCAACAAATGGACAAAGCGTCAACAGCCAGCAGAAAAAGAGGCGGGAGAAGAAATCAACAGCATCAAGGCCAAGAAAGTGCAGAGACAGGATAGGAGTGACCTGTTAGCCCAAGGTCACTGAGGATAACAATGTTTTCTGTGAACCTAGCCAACTCCCTGCCTCCATCCATCTTCTCTAAGACTCGGTGATGTGGGGTCACCAGCCTATGAGCCTCTGAGGGGACCCCATGCAGGCTGCCAGGTTGTCCGTGTTGTCTTAGAATGTTATAGACACTTACTTGTATAAATACAGCTGTAATGGAAGTGAATGACACCTTGTGAAGGTGGAGACCCTGGAGAGCAGTGTCACAGACGAGAACCTGGACCTTACAGAGAGTCTCGTGTGAGTGGCCAGCTGGAAGCAAATGAAAGCCCCAGACACATGCTGTCTTAGACCTGCGACACGGGAAGATACTCAGATGTGGCCGTATTGGCAGACAGATAGGGAGTGTCAGAGGCTGATCTGCTGTTAGGCGTCCCTGGCGCCATCATGCAGATGTCCTGACCCCTCTGCTCCCGAGCTGATCAGTGACGCACCTGTTGTGTACCAAAGACAGCCATCCGTGGTGCCACTACGCCCTGACCAGCCTGAGGGCTGCTGCGAACCCACAAGCTGCCGTGAGCACTCGTGGCAGTCGCCCAAAGGAACATAAGCAGCCATGTGGCCGTGGCATTGCACCCAGAGCACAGCTTGGAAGGCGCAGTGGCATCCCTTGGGACCATACACAGGACACAGCTGCCGTGACAGAAACACCAGGACCAAACTAGGTGGTGTCTAGATGGGGCGCTGGGGAAGGGCACAGTCACCCAGTGGTTTTGGGTAGGCCTGGGACGGGAGGCATACTGGGGGAGCTTTAGATGCTCTCCTGCCTCCAAGACCCATTGCATTGTCTGTGGAAGCGTGAACCCTAGCAGTGTAGGAGGCTGCTTGGTTTCTGCTGAGGCCTCGCGTTGGCTTGTCAACACTGTGTCCCTGTGGCTTTGATTGCCTTCCAGTGTGGTCCGCAGATTTAAGTGGAGTCTCCTCTGTCAGGCCCACCCTGATGACCTTATTCCCACTCTCTTACTCGCTGAGCCTCTCGACAGTTCCTTTGCATTTTTTATAAGACCATTTGGAAACGGCCTGAAAGCTGCATGCCTGAATCCCAGCCAGTGCTCTGGATGCTGAAGCAAAAGGCTGGCGGACTTGAGGCCAACATGAAGAAGACTCGGCGCTCAAGGGGAAATGGCAGGGAATGAATGATGTTGGGTGTGGGCTCAAGGGGACTCAGCATGAAGAGCACTGGCCGGACTGTTGGACATAAGGAGCTTACTGGAAAGGTTACTAGTACTGTAGGTAGAAAACCAAACGGTGGGGACTCTAGCGTGCCAGACCCAAGAGCAGACAGCATGCGGGAGGAGGGCTCTGAGAGGAATCAGGCCCATGTGCTAGAAGTAGGCCTCTTAGCTCTCTGAGGATAGAACCTGTAGCCAGGTGCTCTGAGTCCCAGGCAGGGCACAGGAAGGATGGGTGGGGGCTGCATGGTGGCATCCATGTCCCGTGATGTGATGTAGACGCATGACCTGGAAGTCTGCTGACCTGAGACTTAGGTGAGTCGATACCTGTCGGTGCCTGGGAGAGGAGAAGGGGCTGCTGCGAGTGCTGTGGCCTGTGCAGCTGCTGGATTCTGGATTCTGACGTTCCAGTCTTCAGAGTCCAGGGCATGGGACGCACGCTGCTATCCCAACACCAAAGACACAGAGACCCACAGATCCCTGTGCTTGCCGGCCATCCAGCTTAGCCTGACTGGCAAGTTCCAGGCTGCTGAGAGACCCTGTTTCAAACACGAGGGCTGGTGAGACGGCTCAGCAGGTGAAAACTTCTGCTGTGCAAGCCTGCAAACCTGAGTCAGTTTCTGGAACCTACGGAAAGCCAGATGGATCACACACTTCAGCTGCAGCACTGCTACAGTGGAATCTGCCGTGGAAGGAGAAAACCAGCTCCTAAAAGTTGTCCTATAGCATTTTCATGTGTGTCATGATCTGTGCATGCCTACGCTCATACACATGCAACATACAACAGTACTGAAATCCAACTAGGAGGGGTGTAGACTGCTATTCGCAAAGGACCTGGGCTCGATTCCCAGCACTGATACGGCAGCTCACAGCCATTTGTAACTTCAGTTCCAAAGGAACCGACGCCCTCTTCTGACAGCCACGAGCACTGCATGCACAGTGTACAGATACACATGCAGGCAAACACTCACGCACATAAAATAAAAATAAACCTAAGGAAAAACAAACAGTTGGGTGGCTCCTGAAGAAAGACATACACAGTTGATTGACCTCTGCTCTCAATATACACACACCCATACACATGAACATTCATCTACACGTAAACACACTTGCACACACCCCAAAATTACTGGGAATACAAGTCAGCTCAGGGGCGCTCACTGGCTTAGCATCTGCAAGGCCCTGATTCTCATCTCCAGTGCTGTGCAGAAGCAACACAGCATCTGGCTAGTCTGGGGAGCTGCTTTCCTTAACTGGCAAGTAATGATGTCGCCAGGCAGTGGTGACACATGCCTTTAGCCCCAGCACTCAGTAGGCAGAGGCAGGAAGATCTCTGTGAGTTTGAGGACAGCCTGGTCTACAGAGAGAGTTCCAGGACAGACTCCAAAGCTACAGAGAAACCCTGTCTTGAAAAAGAAAGGAAGGAAGGAAGGAAGGAAGGAAGGAAGGAAGGAAGGAAGAAAGAAAAAGGATTATTTAGTCTGTGTTAGCAATGTCAGGTCTGTCACTCGTGATTGTGGCACCGACACCACAGTTTAGGGTCTGGGATCTGTCACTCAAGAGCCTTGGCTGATGCTTCATGAGTCCCACAGTCAAACAATGTATTTGAGCAAATGTTTTTCTCCCCACTTTCTATTATTTACATGTAAAATAACCCTCTGTGTCTGCTGGGCAGCGGCTAGTTGCTACCAAAATGGGAAACTCCATGAAACCCGGGAAAGGGGCCTTGGTCCAGGCTGGAAGCTACTTAGAACACAGAGTCATCAGAGTAAATAAAGGGCATCGATGGCCCCTCAGACCACTCCCGTGGCTAAGCTCTGGTGGCTAGAATTGATGGACTGAGGGGGAGAGGGAGCAAGGTCAAGTTTGAGGAGCAATATAAAACAGGCCACAGGAGGCAGTTCTGGAGTCTTCGGGTTTGGGTCTATTTTTGTTTCAATCAAAAAAGTCGAAGATAAGAAAAAAGCAGCTCACTCACCACTTGTAACTAAGCATGAGCTGGAGAGTGCCGGGCCTGCTTCAGGCTCCTGTGTTGTGTGCTTCTCCGCCCTCTCATCAACACTGTGGGCCTCAGCTGCTCCATCTAACTGCAGCCTCTGCCTATGCAGGTGCCGTCTGCCAGCACCGTGGGAGGCGCAGACCGATAGCTCGTTTGTACTAATAAACCGCGACCAGTGACCAGACCAAACATACCAGCAACACCAGACCCGGGGGCTTGTCAGTCACACCAGGCAAAACCTACTTGTGGCCGTAGAAAAGGAACCCTGGAGGCGGGGGTGTGGCAGACACGCTGACTCCTTTGGTCACTTGGCGTACAGCTCGAGGACCCCAGAGCCCCAGTTCCAGTGCAGTGTCTCCTGCCTCTGGTGATTGGTACAGCCTGTAGCCCAGACCGACCTGTGACAAGCTTGCACCTGGACAGGTCTACACGCGTGATTGTAAGGCTGGTCTGGTCGCTATAGACTTTTCTCTTTGTTTTTCAAGACAGGGTCTCACTAAGTAGCCCTGACTGCCCTGGAGCTCAATCTGTAGACCAGGCTGGCCTCAAACTCAAAAGATCCTCCTGCTTCTGACTCCTGCGTGCTGAGATTAAAGGTGTGCACTACCTTACCAGGCCAGACCTTTCTTTATGCCTGTGAGTTCTCTGCTTCTGAATTCTGCAACTCAGCTTTTCTGAGCCATTCTGAAATCGTACATGTACAGATATTTAAAATAGTGTGGGAAATGTGTGCACCGTGAGTTAATATTAGCAGCTACGATTGGCACGTGAGGAAGGGGCTCTGGGTGTGCAGGCGTGAGGAGGACACACACAAGGTCAAGCCAGAAGAGAATGTAGAGAGATGGCTGAATGAATAAACGGCTTTTGCATGAGTGTGAAGGCCTGAGTTCAAACCCCTAGAGCTCACATGAAAAGCTGGGTATGGCAGCAGATGCCTGTATTGGGGAAGCAGAGAAAGGATCCCCAGAGCTGCCAGGCCAGCCAAGCCCGAGTCCCTAAGGTGACTTGGCAACTAAAAGCACTTGCCGCACAGTCTTGGCAACCTGTGTTGAGTCCTTAGAACTACAGTGGAAGGAGAGAACTGACCTCATGTTCATGTGCACACACTCATGTACACGTGCACACACAAATAGTGGGAGGTTTCTTCAGAATAGGGGGAGAATGGCTGATACCCAGCACATGCCCCCCCCCCAGACATGCACACGCATACACTGCACATCCACCTGTACAAAGAACTGGCAATGACCATACTGTCAAGTAAAACCAGGATTACTTGGCACATTGCGGCCAACTCCCCAGCTGTTTTGTGCAGACACACAATGTGCCTGCCTTCACTACTCAAACAGCAGGCTTGCAACATATTAGCTGGACTCTCAGAAGAGACTGAGGCAGCCTGGGCTACAGAGAGACCCTGCTTGAAAAAAGCAAAACCTCAAGACAAAAGAGATGCTGAGCGGAGGATGCAGCCTAGCGACCAGCTTGTGCTTCCTATGCATAAGACCCTGGCCTTGAGATAGAGCTTACGCGGCCAGGCCTGCTCCCCGCTCCCACCACCCGAGCCCTAACGCACCTCCTCACCTATCTGATTTGTTTGCAGGTCGCACTGTTTTTCTCTGGCCCCAGTGTGTGGACACCACCACACGCCCTCCAGACCAGCAACGGCTCTTATGTGTATGTTCCAGTGTTTCTTCTGTCAGAGAGTCGGACAGAGCCATAGTTCCGCCAGTGCTGGCCCAGAGCAGAGGGACGAGCGCCCAGCAGACATGGTGAAAATGACCAAGTCCAAAACTTTCCAAGCTTATCTGCCACATTGTCACAGAACCTACAGCTGTATCCACTGCAGGGCCCATCTGGCCAATCATGATGAGCTCATCTCCAAGGCAAGTGATCTGGATTCAAAACTGAGGGAACAAGGCTTGCACACACCTTTAATCCTAGCAATGGGGAGCCAGAGGCAAGATGGTCTCTGAGTTCAAGGCCAGCCTGGCCTACAAAGTGAGACCCTGCCTCAAAAGGGGAGAAAAGCCATAAGGTAACAGGCAGAACTGGTTGGGAAGGACATGGCTTTGGTGAGCTGGTGACAACTGCTATTCACCACGATCAGTCCCTCGAGCCAGCAGTGCGAGTCAGACACCACAGGCCATTTTTCTGCAGCATGCCGGGCGTATCCATCCTGGGAAGGGACACAAAACTTACCCATTGCATCAGATATGCATTTCAAGTTGGAAGAGGCCACAAATGAAATCCTTAAAGGTACACAGACTGCCAAGAAGTCTGAACCTCATCAGCTGCTGGTGGTGACTTTAGTCTCGTGACCCTGTAACAAGATACCTACGAAAATCAGCTCAGTCAAGAAAAAAGCATACCTGTTGATGACTTCAGAGATTTCTGTGCGAGGCCAGGTGTCCCTTGTCCCTCCCACGGTTGGAGCACGGGGCAGAGGAGGGTGGAAAGCACAGAGGAAGGGACCAGTATTCCAGTAAGCTCCGAGGTCTGCCTGTGGTGACCTAACTTCCTTCCTCAGGGTTCCCTCACCTGGCAGCCACAGCCGTGGCTCACTCTCTCAGTGGTCTCTCTGCTTAGGGCTTAGTGAAGCCGAGGGGCACACACCGTGAGAGTAGATTCCAGCAGGTGGAAACTAGAGCCGCCTCCATGCGAGGTTACCAGTCCATTTTTGTCATTTAACAAGGAACCCGCTGGTCCTCAAAAGTGCCTCCCTTTGACGAAAAGATGCTCTCAGCCCAGGCTGTCTCCCGAGTGCTGGGATTAAAGGCGTGTGCCAGCACATCTGGCCCTCCACACTGTTAACTCCCGGGTGTGCTCACGTCTCCGTTCACCCAGATGACTTGTGCTACAGGAAGTCCCCTGAGGCATCGCTCTCCACATGCCCTTCATAAACTTCTCTGTCACTGAGGAAAGCCCTGTGGAAAGCGGAGGGCTTGGAAAGAGGCTAAGGGGTGTGTCAAAAGTCTAGGGTGAGGGTTGGCTAAACTGAAAAGGAACACAGAATAATATTCTTGGTCCTAGAAAACTGCTTTAGGGGATACTCCTGAAATGTGTGTGTGTGTGTGTGTGTGTGTGTATACAATACATATATAGGTATACATATATATATACATATATATGTATATATGGATAAACTTGAAACCTATATTTTATTTATTTTTATTTATTTATTTATTTTCTCTGTGTAGCCCTTACTGTCCTGGAATTCACTCTGTAGACCAGGCTGGCCTCAAATTCAGATTCACCTGCTGCTCTGTCTCCCAAGTGGGATTAAAGATATTCACCACTATGCCTGACTGAAATCCATATTTTAAAATCAAAACCTGTCTGGGTGGGCTGGGACATAGCTCAGTGGCAGAGTCCTTGTGTAGAGCTCAGCATCGTGAGGCGTCCTATGACCCTCAGATCCCGCAAGCCCCAGGGACCACCCACTTGTCTCCTCCCCAGCACCGAGGTCACAGGAGCATGCAGTCACGCTCAACTTTTGTTTGCGGGGGAAGGAGTTGAAACAGGGTTTCTTTGTGTAGCCCTGGCTGTCCTAGAACTGGCTCTGTAGGCCTCCTGAGTGCTGGGATTAAAGATGTGCAGTACCCCTGCCTGGCTTGTCTTCAAAGGTATTACAAGGATGAGTGTTTTGCCTGGTGCCCGCTGAGGGTCAGAAAGGGCACTGAATCCCCTGAGACTGGAGTTACAGATGGTTGTGAGCCACCATTTGGGTGCTGGGATTCAAACCCAGTCCGTCTACCAGAGCCACAAGTGCTTTTAACTGCTGTGCCATCTCTCCAACCCCATGCTTGGCTTTTAACATCTTTCCAAATTTAAATGTGTGTCTGTTTGGGAATGTGGTGTATCTAAGTATGGTGTCCTCAGAGGTCAGAGGTATTGGATCCCCTGGGGCTGGAGCTGCAGGGTTGTGAGCAGCCCAAAGTGGGTGCTGGGAACCCAGCTCAGGCCCTTTGCAAGAGCAGTTACGTGCTCTTAACTGCTGAGCCATCTCTTCAGCGACCCCCCCACTCATCTGTAGGTGGACTTCACTGTGCTGGGCCTTAATGTACCCAAGTGGCTGAGCTACAGGCACAGACCACCATACCAGGCACAGGACGTGACTTTGTTTTCTGTTTTTCTGAGACAGGGTCCAGCCACGTAGCCCTGGCTGGCTTGGAACTCACAATGTGAGCCATGCTTGCCTTAAACCTGTGCTGGCCATCCTGCCTCTGCTCCAAAGGGCCGGAATTACAGACAGGCATGCTGAGCTCAGGCCATGACTTTTTTTTTCTTTAATGCCACTGGAAAAGTACAGAATTTTCCCCTTGCTTTCTACTACATGAAGACAGTAAGGTGTCAGGACTGTGTTGGGAGGGGTGAGAAGGAGGCTGGAGAGACAGCTCAGCAGTTACGACCACGCTCAGTCCTCTGCAGGCCTCAGGTGGGTTCCCAGCACCAGCCAGCATGGCAGCTCACAACTTCCTTCAGCTCCAGTTCCAGATGATCGGATACCCTCTTCTGACTTCCAAGGGCTCATTCATGCACATGGTATGCATCCTCTGGCACGTGCACGTATGCCACACACACACACACACACACACACACACACACACACACACTCCTTAAACAAAGAGATGAGAAAAGAGCATGTTTATCTGTGGACCTGGCCTTAGAGCCCCAGGGTGCAGTCATGTAGGCTGGCAGACCTACCAAAGCTATTAGCTATGACTTTCTCTTCTAACTGTTGCCCAGGCCAACCTTGAAACCCAAGCTGAACCATTTCTCCTAAGCCTCTGTAACCGGGGCTGCAGGGAGTCCCAGTGTCCAGCCCTTGACAATTGCACAGTGATACTCCAACCTTTCTGATGAAGTCTAGATACAGAATTGTCTTTTGAAATTGGTGCTGGTGGTGGTGTTGGCGCACACCTTTATCCCAGCCCTCAGGAGGCAGGGGCAGGTGGATCTCTGAGTTCAAGGCCAGCCTGGTCTACAGAGCAAGTTCCAGGACAGCCAGGGCTACACAGAGAAACCATGTCTCAAAAAACAAAGCAAAACAACAACAACGAGAGAGAGAGAGAGAGAGAGAGAGAGAGAGAGAGAGAGAGAGAGAAAGAAAGGAGCTTGAGCTTGTGTTTTGTAGCTGTGTTCAGGAACTGCACTGTGGGGTGACTGTGGCCTGAGCTAAGTGACTGCACCTGCTCCTCCAACATCCCAGAAAGCAGAGCTTCTGGTGTCCTGCCTGCCCCCTGCTAACACCTTCTTCTTCTTTGCAGTCCTTCCAGGGCAGTCAGGGGCGAGCCTACCTCTTCAACTCCGTGTGAGTACGTGTTGTCGCACATGTGTCCGTGTGCGTGTGTGCATGCGTGTCTATGTGTGTCTTCAACTCCATGTGAGTACGTGTTGTCGCTCGCTCGTGTGCATGTGTGTGTGTGTGTGCACATGTGTATGCGTGTGTGTCTGGCCCTTCCTTGGCCGCTCAGTGAGAGTGGGCTTTGTAACTGAGCTGCACCCGTCAGTGCCTTCATCATCTCTGAGGAATCTGGGCCCCTGCATCTGTGCTTTGGAAACCACAGTTGTGCCTGAGAGTTCAGCCTCGAAGCCTGACCCTTTAGGATGCTCTGGGTGGGTTAGGGGTGGCTCAGCAGTGGAATGCTTGCTTAGCACCTGTGAGGCCCTAGGTTTGATCCCCAACACCATAAAGAAAAAAATTCATTCCCTCTTGTTAAAGTGGGGGTGGTAGAGCTGAAACACCTGTGATGGTGTAGAGATTCTGTTCTGGTGCACTTGATGTGGGGGAAGGGAAAGGGAACTGGGCAAGGGGACCTCCAGCATAGTCACCCTGCGTCTTGACAGGGTGAACGTGGGCTGTGGTCCTGCTGAAGAGAGAGTCCTTCTGACCGGGCTGCATGCAGTGGCCGACATCTACTGTGAGAATTGCAAGACTACGCTCGGGTGGAAATACGTGAGTACCAGGGCCTGAGAGGGATGGTAACATCAGTCAGACACTGTGGGTTCTCATGGGGACGTAGCTTAGCTCATAGTGCTTCAAAGGTATGCAAAAAGCCTTCTATCCCCACAACTTCATAAAATGTCACAGAGCCATGGCTCAGTGGGTAACAGCGCTTGTCACCAAGCCTGACAGACAGCCTGGGTCTGACCCCTGGATCCACATGGTAGGAAGAGAGAACCAGCTCTTGCAACTTGAGTGCCACAGCGCATGCACACAAAGACACATACGCACACACAAACACACGCACGCACACACAAACACACGCACGCACACACACGCGCGTGCACACACAAAGGCAGCAGGCACTCAGGAGGTGGAGGCATGTGGATCAGTTCCTGAGAGACAGGATCCTGTCTCAAAACAAACACAAGGATTGCAGGCTCCCAGCGTTCCTTCGAACTATGCAGGACGGAGCACACCGTGTGCCTGTGTTGAGTACAGGGCCTGGCAATCCCCAGGTTCTCCTCCCAAGATCCTGCTTTCTCAGATCCCGAGCGAGGGTTGCCAGCCTCCCTCTCTCCAGCTTCTCTCCACACATGAATTGATTGGTTATCAGAACTGACAGGCTTGTTGCTGTTGGCCTTGCATTTCCAACCCTGGACTCTGAGCACTGCCCCTCTACTGCAACACTGTCTGCTGCCGCCTTTGTCTCAGGAGCCACTAGACATGTTCTGGTCAGCTCTTTAACGTCTGCCTCTGCCTTAGCTTATCCCCCAATAGAAGCCACCTTGTGATGCTGCATCCTGCCTGTAACTCCAGAGACATATTTGTGGTTTGTTTGTTTGTTTGCATCTGTGTGTGAAATGCACACTTCTGTATGCATGTTCTGTGTATGTAAAGCGTACACTTCTGTATGCGTATTCCTGTATGTGTGAAGTTCACACTTCTGTATGCATGTTCCTGTGTGAGACGGTTGCACACTTGTTTGCATGTTCCCATGTGTGTGCCAGTTGCAGACTTCACTATGCACGTTCCTATGTGTGACATGCACACTTCTGTATGCATGTTCCCATGTATTTAAGACACTGTAGTCTTTTGTATGCATATTCCTGTGTGTGACGTGCATACTTCTATATGTATGTTCCCATGTATGTGTGACGGCTACAGACTTCTATGTGTGTTCCCGTGATGTACACACTTCTGTTTGCATTTCCCATGTGTGTGCCAGTTGCAGACTTCAGTATGCATGTTCCGATGTGTGATGTGCACACTTCTGTATGCATGTTCTTATGTGTGTGAGAGACACTGTAATCTTTTGTATGCATAGTCCGTGTGTGTGTGTGATGTACACACTTCTGCATGCATGTTCCTGTGTGTGATGTGCACACTTCTGTATGCATGTTCCCATGTATACACCTGGAAGCCAGAGGCTGATGTCCAGTGTCTCCCCAATCTCTGCTTAATTTGCTGAGGCAGATCTCTGTGAATTCAAGGCCAGCCTGGTGTAGGAAAGCTAGTTCCAGGACAGCTAGGGCTGATATACAGAGAAACAGTATCTTGGAGGCAAAAAAAGGTGGACAATCAAAACACAACCTCTGGCCTACACACACACACACACACACGACCCAGCCTCACCTGTGTGCCATTGACTGTTCTCATGACCCTCCTTCACGTCTCCTGAAACACCCATATACAATCAGTGCCAGTGAGTGGTGTGTCTGTCGTGCTGAGGGTGGAGCCCAGCACCACAGGCACACTAAGCAGCGTACTGAGCTGCGTCCCAGCCTCAGGAGCAGACCTGAGCTAACACTGCTCATAAGTGCAATGAGCCATTCAGTATCACTCTGTACTGACCCATGGATCCTCCTGGGCCTAGGTCAGTGCACAGTTCAAAGAATGTCTGAGCATAGATGATACTCCAAACTCCCATTTACCAAGAGTGTAATAGAGCGAGAAAATGAAACAGAGTGTGTCCTGAAACCTTCTTTCTACTTTCCCCTCAAGGAACATGCCTTTGAGAGCAGTCAGAAATACAAAGAAGGAAAATTTATTATTGAACTTGCCCACATGATCAAAGACAATGGCTGGGAGTAGAGCGAAGCCCCGCTCCTGTCTGAATACATTTTATCAACGCTAAGTGTGACGAAGACCTAGCTTCTGGTGGCAATACTTCTGGAACTTTAACCTCACAGGCCAGCCCAGCTCAACACTTGAAGACCTCTCTAGACTGTTCCTGGGTAAGGGGCCCCCATCTGAGCCCCTTCGTGTACACTGTTGTTTCTGGAAGTTGGCATTCTTTTTCTAACTTCTCACATTCTAGAGAAAGAATTAAGCAACGCTGACTCACCTGCCTAGTTAATAACTCCGCACGCCTTCAACATAGTCTGCCTGGGTTTCCACCAAACCCAAGCCCCTACTGCACAGAAGCAGGGTCTCATTCTGAAGAGTCTTCCGAAGTAGCCAACAGACTTACATGCAGAGCATATGGCTTCAAAAACAGAAACCAGCCACTGGTGATATCTTAGAGAAGCTAAGGAAGAAAGCATTTAGTGAGCTTTATTTAAGCTAAGAGCTACATTCCCATTTCCTTATGGAGAAAGAGGTGACTGGTGGCCAAGCATTCTATCCCAGGCCACTGAGGCGACCCCTCAGTGTCACAGCAGCTCGTATGTGGGGCTGGTCCCTGTCAGAGCAGCAGCTGGGGGCCACACTATCCCCTGGATGTACTTGAAATAGTTATGCACAGAGGCCAGAGCCAGCACAGAAAAACTTCTGAACTTGAGATTTTCCATGATAAAAGAAGAGTTATCTTAGTGTGGGAGCTGCCTTTCCTGCCTGGGATCACCTCATGACCTGACAGGGAGGGATCTGGCCACTTCCCAAGCCCTGCGTCTCACAGACTTTTAAGTCACAACCTGTAATCCTCCACGCATCAACGGGAGTGACCAGTTAGCAGAGGATAGAGGACAGAACCATTCCCAGATAAGTTTTGTATTTCAACTTGTACCAAACACAGGGCAAAAGAGCAGGAAGGTCTAGGAAGGCTGAGCGCCCAGGAGCTGGGAAAGCAGCATGCCAGGAAAAGCGCTCAGCCCCAGCTGCTGCCTGGGGTGCTTAGTCTAAGAGCAGCGTCTAGTCCTCTGGGCTCGCAGCCCCAAACCTTCTAAACCCAGATCCTCTCGCCAGCACAGGCACTTCATTCAGCTGCTCTAGCGCCCTGCTCACTCCAAAGCTGACATTTTGGCACCATCTCTTTGCCCAAGATTGAAAGCCTAGGAATACAAGAAATGCCTGGACAGCAGAAAACATGTTTGCACGGCCTGTGAGCCTCTATGCCTGGTCCTGGTCGAAGCTGCTTCTTTCTCTCTGACTATGGTTCCCTCCAGACTAAGGTTGACCCAAAGGTTACACCACCAGTAAAGGTAACCAGTGAAATGGAGCACAGGCAGCTAGTCCGAGTGAAATCTAGCAGGGCCCAGGCTCCATCCTTGTCTAGAATGAACACTCATCAGCAGTCTGCTCATAGTGGACACAGCACCCTGGTTAGTTTCAGTACTCTTACAAGTGGGAACTTGGTAGCTGAGGTTTGGGAGACCAGATGTCACCATCAGATGGGAACGTGAGAGCACCCTGAATATATTCATGCTTCACTTGAAGAACCTAGGATTTCTGACCAGTTTCTGTATATACTAAGATTATATTTACAGCTTTTTTTATGTTCTGGGCAAGCTTTCTGCCCTTCTACTTGAGCACTTTGTATTGTCTTTTGTGATAGCATTGATTGGAAAGTTTTTGCTAGTACTCTTTATGACTTATTTTGTATGGGGGGGATAATGGATACCAACAAAACTTTTATGGAGTTTTTTGGATTTTGTGTTGGCCTTCTGTGAAATATAAACTTTTTAAATCAAAAGAACTGACCACGAGCTGGCTGCAGGGGAAGCGATGCAAGACCACAACCAGATGTGCTGGTGAGCTGCTAAACCGCCACTTTCCAAACAGCATCATTCTGTGACTCTTACAACAGTGGGAGGTGGTGCTGGGTCATAAACGCCACTCTGCTTTAGAAATGTGGTTTATTTTGTTGCTGTCTTGTTAGCATAGACATAGTATTTTTATACCTTAATGTTTATTCTTGATGGCATCTGCTGGATATCTGAAAAGAACAGAAATGAGAGGTTTTTTCCTTTAAAAAAGTCCTTTATTTTCTGATGACCTCATGAGGCAGTTTTCAAAATCCAAGTGTCATTACTGTCTAAAAAGCTGCCATTTAAGCTCTATACAACCTGTAGAAGTGTAAGCCCTGGTGGGTCCTGTCCTCTCTCCCGGAGGACAAGAGTGGGCTGCTGGGTAAGGCTGACCGGACAGTGACTGGACGCAGCTGGGAGCTCGCCATGAGTAGCAGGGCCACCAAGCTCAAGCATACACAGCACCCTTGGCTCCCCGTCGCCTGGCCAAAGATGCCGACGTCAGACAGCAAGGTCTGCAGCGTGCTTGCCGTCTGGAGGTGAGGCCTCTCTGCAGAGGGATGACCACGCTTCTGCAGCATCCACTGGGAGCAAAGGATGGTCAGGGCTGCAGAGCCCGTGAGGACCCAGGCTCCCGGGGTGTGGCCTGAGGAAAGTGTGAGAAAACAGTCAGGCACTAACCTCTGTCGCACAGAGCCCTGCTCTGCAGCCCTGGGCTGTTGCGCTTTTCTTTCTTTCAGACAAGGTCCCACCATCTGCCCCGCTTTTGTTTTTATTTTAGGGGACAGGATCTTGCTGTGTGGCCTTAACTGGCTTAGAATGTACAATGATCCTCCTTCCTCCGCTTCCTAAGACTACAGGTGTGTCACTGTATCTGGTCCCCGCTTCGTGACCCGTCATAATTGTGACGTATCGGCTTGCCTATAGCAGAGGAGTCAAGAGAGGATCTTGAAAGGGCAGAGGAAGGCAGGGTAGAAGGACACCAGGGAGTCGGGACCTGAAGTGACACCACAGGTGCATGGTTTAGTGGGCGGAGCTGGAGAGTGTAGCTGGCCTGTGAGCAGGGAACAGACCACATTCTCGCCCCAAGAAGAGCCAGTGATGAGCAGCGCTCATGCCCTGAGACCATGCAACAGCAACTGGAAGTGGATGAGGGGAGGCAGGTAGTGAGGCAGGACAGACTGTCCACCTCCCAGAAATACAGAAGGCTTGGGCTGTGGTTTTAACATCAGAAATGAAAAGAAGTACAAGGCTACATTCTCAAGAACTTTAGCGATTTTTGTGGGCACAAGCTTTTGGCCAAGATAAGAAAAAAAAGCCAAAAAACCAAGAATCAAGCCTAAGTTACAATTTAATGTGGCACCCTCTAAACAATGGTGACCCAAGGACAACACGGGAGCCGTAGGCAGGCTGAACATCAACTAATGAGTGTCAGAGGATGTACGCCATGACATGACAGTGCCTCCAGAGAATGTACGCCATGACATGACATGTCAGTGCCTCCAGAGAATGTACGCCATGACATGACATGTCAGTGCCTCCAGAGAATGTACGCCATGATACGACATGACAGTACCTCCAGAGAATGTACGCCATGACACGACATGTCAGTGCCTCCAGAGAATGTACGCCATGACATGACATGTCAGTGCCTCAGAGGACACAGTCTGCCCACACTTCTGAAGGGGCAGCTGGGGAAAGCTGGAAGTCAGCACAGGTTCAGGATAGAAGGCAAAGTCCTGACAAACAGCAGCTAGAAGCTGTTCGGACACAGAAGAGCCAATGCCAAGGGCCTTTTCTCTTTTGGTTTTTTGGGGCAGGGTTTCTCTATATAATAGCTATGGCTGTCCTGTAACTCGTTCTGTGGACCAGGCTGGCCTCGGACTCACAGAGATCGCCTGTCTCTGCCTCCTGAGTGCTGGGATTAAAGCCAAGCCGTAAAATCATTTTCAGGATCAAGAGACTGCCCTGGAATCAGAAGGAGTTGGTAAACCAGGCTTGGCGCACAAATTCCAGCACTTGGGGAGGTAGAAACAGGTGGGTCTGAGTTCAAGGCCAGCCTGACCTTACATAGTGAGTTTCAGGACAGCTAAGGGTACTGACAGTTGGTGACTGTCAGTAGAAAGGAATCAGCAGGGAGGCCACCTCTTTCTGGGGGACCTTGTGCTAAATCACAGCACAAACTATTGACTGGGCTCACCAAGGTAGGGCTGATGCAGAAAGAGCAGACAGGACGTCAAGCATGCCTGCCCCAGGCAAGCAGTGGAGTGCTTACGGAAGTGCTGTCAACAGAAGGAAGCTCACAAGATCTTGTCAGCCTGGGAGTGCAAACTCCGCCTCAGGATCCAAACCAGGGTCTGAGAACCAGTCTCAATCTCCATATCTAAATTTCTTTTGAGAGAGTCTCCCTTTGTAGCCCAGGTTAGCCCTAAGCACTCACCCTCCCTGCCTTGGCATTCCGAATGCTGGGATGACAGCGGCTCCTTGAGCATCTGCATTTTTTAGAGAATCTACTGGTGGTGGCACTAGCCAGGGAACTGTGCTGAGTGAGCACATAGCCATCCTGAGGCAGAGATGGCTGGGGTGGGGGGGTAAAGGACACGGCCTTCCTCGCTAACCCAAGACAGGTCCATTGGCACCAGACGAGGGATCGAGAGGCCAGGAGTCCCAGGGGCCAAAACTGGACCCAGTCATAGGCAATATGTTTATTGGCTCAGAGCCAAATTTGACAAGGACAGACAGCTCAGAGACTGAAGCCCACAACCATGTACCCTACCAGGATCCATGAGACCAGCCTGCCGCTACCAGGAGCTGAAGTCCCCAAAGCCCCGGCTGGGCTTCTTCTTGGCCATGGGGACAGCTGTGCTGGTTGATGGTTCTTCCTCTGCTGCTCGCTTCCTGAGACACAAAGAAAACTACTCCAGTTGCCACAGAAGAGCCAGGCGCCCATGCTTAGCCCTCTGAGGAAGCTCCACACATAGGTAGCTTTCCCTTCAGAGGCGTCCTTTACAAAGTGCTGCTCCCACTATAGCATCCTGGCCTGCACAGGGCCTTTCTAGACCCTTACCTAGGTCTTACCTGTGGGTTTGATTTGGTTTGGTTTTTCAAGACAGGGTTTGTCTGTGTAACTTTGGAGCCTATCCTGAAACTCACTCTGTAGACCAGGCTGGCCTTGAACTCACAGAGACCCACCTGCCTCTGCCTCCCAAGTGCTGGGATTAAAGGCGTGTGCTACCATCACCTGGTCGGCCTGTGGTATCACCCCCTAGGATCACTGTGAAAAGATGTCCCAGCATCCAGAGACAGGAGAGAGGTCACCATCAAGCACACTCACGTGGCTGCTGGGTTGATGTACTTGCCCACCCCCTGGCGATATGTCTGGGGGCCCTGGTTTCCAGGCTGGGGCTGGCTCGTCTTGACCTTGGCCTCTGGATCCACTTGCTGCTGTGTCTTCTTCCTCTCCTGGGCAATCTGGGGGTAGCAAAACTGTCTGAAGCAGAGTCCCAGAGTGGGGTCTTGCCTCAGGGTGTGTCCTCTTGCTCCCAACCAACAACATGACTTGCCTGGCACCTTTCTTACCTGGGCATCAGCCTCCTCATAGGGGTCCACAAACACCGTGGTTGCACATATGCGTATTTCCTCCTGGTGGCAGAAAGGCTCTGTGAGCAGGCAGCAGACTTCCCCAGCCAGCACCCAGTAGGCAGTGGTCCTCTGTTCTCCAAGGTACATACCTTGGGACGGTCAGTTTTAGGGTCACTCTCCACATTCTCCATAGCTGTCAGTGTGTCAAAACCCCCAACAACCCTGTAGTAGAGAGACAGAGCTGGGTCTTTGTGTACCCTGAGCAGAGTACCATCCATGGCAGAGTCAAAATATACCAAGAGAAGGACTGGCAGACTAGTCACCAGGCAGGACAGGATGAGCCACAGCAGAGAAGGGGGCAGCGACCACACCCAGCCAGGTTTGCTGACTAAAGGCCTACCTTGGACAAAATCCCAGTCCTTATTTCCATACTTTGTTTTCCCCTCTTTATTAAGGCAGGGTCTTACCCAAGTATGAGTAACTGAGGCTGGCCAGGAACTAATAATACTTTGTACTCTAACTCTACGTAACCCCTATAACTCTACAATTGAATCATCGGCACAGACTGTCCTTTGTGGGAAAATCTGCCGACCCTCACACTAGGGGCTGAGAAGAAAGGAGAATGTGCTTCAGACATCCAAAAAGGCTCCTGAGAGGGAAGAGGAGCTAGAGCGCCCAGGACTGTCTGTGTCCTTGGCTCCACAGGAGAGCCAGCCTTTCCCCAGAAACAGCCAGTCCTTGGCGGGGACAGTGTGGGAATGCCCCGGTCTAGGGAAAGGCAGTGAGGCCCACACCGCGCTGCAAACATGCACAGCGTCCACTCTTACCGTCCAAAGATGGTGTGCTTCTTATCCAGGTAAGGACAGGAGCGCAACGTGATGAAGCTGGGGAAAGCACAGGGAGATCAGGAAGGCAGCAGGCTGGCCACCCACCATGCTCTAGTTCCTCTGTAGAAGCTACCTGCCTTTCCCAGGTAAATCCAGACCCCTGGAGATAACCCAGAGCGTGGCTGCCAAAATCCCATGAGCCAAGTAGGAGAAACTGGAGGCTTGAGCTAACTATCAAATTATTTGCAGGAAGGCAGTGGTTAGGGGAGCCCTACCACTGTGAAGTAAACAGGCCAGGTATGTGCTATCTGGAGGAAGTCCTAGACTGAAGACTAAATGGGTGATAGCAGAACACTGGAAGACATCAGACAAAAGGAGGAAAGCACAGATGGGTGAGGGGACTCACACCTGCAACCCTAGCACAGGCGCCTGAGCTCGAGACCAGCCTGGGTACAGTGTGACCTGACCTCTAAATAAATACAACAGAAAACAGGAAATGTATGGGATGGGTTGCAGTGCAGGAGTTAGGTCCCTACACAAAGTCATAGGTGGACTAGGTCCTACTGTGACAACAGGATACAAGCCTCATTCTGACAGTCCACACAGACCCTCAGCGAGCCACAGAGAGAATCTGCAAGCTGCAGTGAACATGCATTGCCCAGCAAGGGCACCCCTGAGGCCACCAGGCAGTCTCAGAGACATCGAGCCCACACCCACACACAGTGCTGCCATTGGAACAAGGACTCGCTTATGGCACCACGCATGACTGAATTGATCCTACTGCATCCACCTCACAGGTGTGTGCCACCACCAGCGAGATCTTGTGAATTTCTAACATAATAAAGGAAGCTAGAAAAAGAATGAAATAAACCTGAAGAAAATAACAGGGAAGTAAAAAATAGCAAAAGGGAAAACAAAAATACAACGGAAATATTTAGATTTTGAAAAGACGGTAAGGAAATGCTGACAAAAAAAAATGCTGTCAAATGGGGCTGGAGAGATGGTTCAGAGGTTAAGGTTCAAAGCCAGCCTGGTCTACACAGTTCCACAAGAGCCAGGACTACTTAATGAAGCCCTGTCTCAAAATAAAATAAGTTTTAAAAAAGAAAAAAACTATACTCAAAGATAAAAGATATACCCAGGCTGGAGACCATTTTCAATGGTAGAACATATATTTAGCACACACAAAGCCCTAGGTTCACACCACAGCACAAAAAGAAAAAAAAGTGTATGTATGTATGTGTGTATATACACACACGCACGCACGCACGCACGCACGCACCTTCGGGAGAGTTAAGCCATATTCTTAGATGAAGAATACACAACTATTCCAAAACAGGAGACCAGACATTCAAGAGCCTTGCCACCCACCACTACCCACACATTGGGTCTTGTTCCGAGCACCTCTCCCTGGCCACTTGTCCTCAGAATCCCTCCTCCCAAAGCACTGGACCAGTAACCCTGCATGGCACCTGGCCCCCACACATCCTGGTTCTGCCTGTTATACCCCGAGAGGAACGCAGTTCTACCAGCTGGCTTGGCTCTTTTCCTGGAGGGCTGCTGCTCGATCTGGCTGTGTACTACCTTGTGTCCACTTGACCTGGACACAGCACAACTTTTAGGGAGCACTCCAGGCACTCTGAAAACCACCCCAGCAGCCGAGCAAGAACAGCTGAACCTGGACTCACAACTGAGACTTGTTGGTGTTGGGCCCCGAGTTGGCCATGCTGAGCACCCCACGGCCTGTGTGGGAGAGGTTGGGGCGGAACTCATCTTTGAAAGGCTTGCCCCAGTAGGACTCTCCACCTGGAACAGAAGAGCACAGTCAGTGATCAGCCAGAACCTACTCCAGGAGCATCAGAGAAAGACCCAGCCCCTGGGGCACCCCTCTGTATGACCCCTGGATCCTAGCACCTTCATCACCCTTGTGGGCCAGGGGCTACAAGGCCAAAGCTACAAGCATCATTCAAACATGTGGGTGGAAGTCATAGTTGGCCCATGTAGCTGAAAGCTTGGGGAAAATGTTATTATGCCCTATAGGAGCCATGGGGCCACCTTATTATATGACAGGAGGGCATGACCAAACCTCACACCTCCTCTGCCTTGTTATGGTAGGAATGTGGGAAAACTAAAAGGCATGCCCAAGGTGGCCCAGAAGGACAGGCACTGTGTTGCAAGCCACCCCCAAATCTGAGATTCCACATCCAGAGCTCTTCAGGCCCAACTCCCCACCAGGCCCCATAGTACAGCCACATGCATTACCTACCTGTGCCTGTACCTGTGGGGTCACCGCCCTGGATCTGCAGAAACAAAACCCAGTGAGGTCGCTGGCTCTGATGCAGCTGATCACCCACTGCTCCCTCTGCCGACTAACCAGAAAGGCTGCCCAATGGCATGTGCTGCGCTGAGGGACAGGGACCTCCTCTCCAACCCCAGGTCTTCTGGGCAAGCAATCTAGGGTCATCTATAGGATCCCTGGCACAAGATACACCCAAAGACCCTACCCTGGCCACACATAGCCTGAACCAGGTGTCAGGGACAGGGCATGCACAAGCCCACTTGGTTCATGGGTCACCCATGTCACCAAGCATCTATGGGCAGCACCAACTTGTTCCACTCACCACAAAGTTCCTGATGGACCTATGAAAGATGGTGCCATCATAATACTGTTTCTTGCAGAGCTTGATGAAGTTTTCACAGGTTTTTGGTGTCTGCAAAATATCCCAATATTCTATAAGCACAGTGGTCAACAGCAGAGTCACAAAAGACATGTAGGCCTTTCATCACAACAGCAAACTACCTGTCTGCAGACCGTGGTTCAGTGTGCCCTGACACATGGCAGAACATGGGAGAGCCAGGTCCTATTCCTTAGATTTGCACACACACCTAGCAGCACCCAAGGAGGCATGCTGTTGCTGAAACTCCAGGGAAGGAAGTCAGAGCACTTTGGTTCTCAGCAGGAGTCAGGCAGGACGTCTTAGAAGCAAACTAACTATAGCCCCACATTTAAGAAACGGCTACCCAAATCCCCCACACACTCACCAGGTCACAGTGCAGCTCGAGGTTAAGGTCGCCCTTGTTGGTGTGTAGCCTCACATAGCCCTTCTTCTTCACAAACTGGTAGCGTAGAACATCCTCATCAATGACAGCTGCAAACAAGTCCTAGCTGTGCACTTGCCCTGTACCCGAGGGAGCTCCTCCACTCAGGCTCCACGGCATGTCACACAAGATCAGCACCAGCGAGACTTCCCCAGTCAGGAGCACCCCAGCTCTGAGATCACATCAAGGACAACACGATGCTAGAGGCTCTAGGGGTCTGAGAGCAGGGTACTTCCAGACAAGGGCCGAGACCATATGCTGAGAATGCTCTTGACTCAAAGGCGACCTTCCAAGCACACCCACCACAACCACCAACCACCAGAGACTGCAAGCAAAGGCACAGTGGGGATGCTGGGAAGCCCTAGTTGGTCCCAATGTGAATTGTGTTCCAGTGAACTGAGAAGTAGAGATGGCTACCTGCTTCATGCGTGGTCTCGGGTACCATGGCAGTGGAGGTGAAGGACGCGCTGACCTTTCCTGTGGAATAGTGGGCCTGCAAGAAAACCATGTACTCAGACCTGTCACCTCTCCTCAAGGGCAGCCTCTGACCGCACACAGCCACAGGGAGAGTCGGCAAACATCAGAGGACGAGATTACTGACACCAAGAGGAACAACTGAAGTAGTTGGAATCAGAGCCCAAGGCCTCAAACAAACTGAAACTAACAATATTAAGTCAAGAAGGGAAGAACCTCACAGGCACAGCATCTTCTCCCATGACAGGAATACAAAGGCACTTCTAACTTTATTTCTAAAGGTTTTGCTTCTGTTTGTTTTTTGTTTATCAAGGTACAGTTTCTGTGTAGTCCAGGCTATTGTAGAGCTCAGAGACCTGTCTGCCTCTGCCTCCTGAGTGCTGAAATTATAAAGGCCTGCGCCTCCACACCCTGCTGGTTTCTTTGGGGGGAAAATGGTCATGTTATTGGGTGTGGTGGTGCACACCTTTTGTCCCAGCACTCTGGAGGCAGAGGTAGACAGCTCTATCTGAGTTTAGGTCAGACTGGTCTACAGAGTGAGTTCCAGGTCAGCCAGGGCTGTATGGAGAAACCCTGTATGAAAAAGCAAACACAACAAAATGACAATGTGTATGAGTGTTTTGCTTGCATGTATATCTTTGCAGCACATGCATGCCTGAACCCTCAGAAGTCAGAAGAGGAAGTCAGATCCCCTGGATGGTTGTGAGCTGTCATGTAGGTGCTGGGAACCAAACCTGGGTTTTCAATAAAAACAACAAGTTTCACTGATCACCTCTCTAACCTGGTTATATATATTTTTACAGTAAACACATGATCTCTTTAATGGGGGAGGGAATAAATGTATTTTTTCATCATATAGAAGGAAAAAAAATGAGGACTGATCAACATGACAGTAATATCGAGAGGTACAATACCAATGCTTAAATAGGGAAATTATAGACAATAAATTTGATTTAATTTTCTAAAATTTCCTGGATAACTCCCTATTGGGAGACCCCACTCTGCCTTTTCCATGGCTGAGACTTTTTAGGCTTAGTCTAAACAGGAGAAAGACAGCACCTATCAGCTAAATGTACTGGAGAAATTCCAGCACCACAGCTGTAGATAGGACCTCAGTAGCCCTGGCAAGCCCAGTCCTCTCTGCCATTACAGACCTGCAAGCCCTTGCATCTCTGTCCTGAAATGTAGAAGTTGCCTGTGGAACAGCAGAGACAGCAGAGACATGGCAGCGCTACTTCTGCTGATCCACTGCTGCACGGGAGCCCAGTCACCTCAACAGCCCTGGAGGGCCCCACAATACTGAGTGGGTCCCAGCCATACCTCCAGGTGCACCCGTCTCCTGGGGAAGAAGCAGAGCCAGAGCAACCCACTCACAGCATTCAGTTGGTCCACCTTCTTCTTCTCAGGTGCCTTCATGGTGGCTGCTAAAATCTCATCTCCTTTGAACTCTTTGTAGAGCTCCTGTAGTGTCTCTCGGGTCTCAGCATTCGTATTTTTCAAGTAATAAGATGGGTCCTGTTTGGCCTTTTCCTCATCTAGAAAACAGTGTACAGGTACTGAGCGGCCAAGGCCCCAGAGTCTCGAGATGAGCATGACAGGAATAGAGATGGAGCTGGCCACGTGAGCAGAAGCCGCAGGAGAGATGACTGAGACAGGCTTCTCTGGCCACAGCATAGCCACAGCTTACTGCCTTGGGTCATCTGGCAGCAGCATTAGTGGGTGCAGCAAGGTGGGGAGCACACAGAACACATCATCATGGGGCCTGACCCCCAGGCCTAGAGGGGTCTCCCTCATAGGGCCAATGGTCCAAACTTAAGAGTCACTGTACTTTTATTTACCTATATAATGAGATCTCTTCACAATGAGGTTTTGCTTTTGTAATTTTAAAAGTGCTTCTTTCTCTCTTTTCCTTTTCTTTATTTTCTTTTTTTAATTAATTAATTAATTAATCAATTTGGTTTTTCAAGACAAGGTTTCTCTGTGTAACACTGGTTGCCCTGGAACTCACTCTGTAGACCAGGCTGGCCTCAACCCAGAGATCCACCTGCCCTTGTCTCCTGAGTGCTGGGATTAAAGGTACCACTGCCCAGCTAAAAGTGCTCATTTCAAGGGAAGGAAGAGTTTAGTGTATTTCATATATGAAATGTCCCATCTGTGCTACATGTTGAGTGCTAGGCCAAAGGCTGTACCTTACTGAGCAGTGAGCATCCCTAGGTCTGGCCTCTGAGTCTACTGAGCTCAGTTATTCCTGAGTTGTTCTACCTCCCTAAATCCTAACTGGTTCATAGTATTCATTATTAAGAGTCAGAATATTGTTTCCTGTTGAGGCGGGCCAACTAAGGTCTGCGCATGAGTCTAGCTGGCTCCTTGGTATGAAACAAGTGAGCTCAGAAACTCACTTGTTTCTAGTGTTATAGTGTGCTCAATAGCATGGGCCAAACACAGGAAGCAAGAGAACCAACCAAGAGCCCAGTCTAACTACCCTAGAAAGATCTGATGTCACCCAGAGTCTCCCCTACAGCCCCTCTTATCTTATGCCCTGGGAAGAGCAGCAATCAACAGGAAGGGAAAGTGAGGTGCCCTAGTATGTCCCAGACTCCAGTCAGCTGCTTCTCTTGCCACCTGGAGCCTGACAGACACGGTGGCGCATGCTTGTAGCCCAGTACTTAGGGGGCAGAAGCAGGAGGGACGCTGCAAATGTGAGGCCAGCCTCATCTGTACAAGCAAATCTCGGGATAGCCAGGGCTTCCCAGAACAAAGGAAGCTGAAGCCTAGTGAATGAGAAGTCACTCTGGAGCCACGGTCTGAGCCCCTAAAGGAAAGGCTCGCCCAAGAAGCACCCATAGTCCACTCACGGCAGCAGTGGTTGTCCATACCTGGATCTATGACTTTCATGTTATTCTTCACATGGAAGAAGTTGGAAACATTGAATTTGTCCAGATTGGTGGGGTCCTGTGACGAGAAGAGAACACTCAGGAGGAAAACCAGGACTGTGACAAGCACCTGCTGCAGGTGTTGGGGCCTGAGAGGTGCCTGCAGGGAAGGAGGCTGTGCCCTGACAGGGTGACAAGCAAAGGTGCTGAGTCCAGAGAACAGACTGCCGAGCAGCTCAGCAAGCCCCTCCAGGGTAAGACTTGCTGCTAGGCAACACAAGATATAGACTGGGCAGTCATGCAGCCAAGCTTCAGTCACAACAGAATAAGTCAGAGTCCTGTAAGCCTGTCTTGAGCTATGCTCCATCTAGGCACGCCCACTTTTCTGTCAGTTTTCACCATTCACCCACCACCAATGGTGACACCTGTGCCAGCTGCTGCTCTTGGAGCAGAGGGGCAGAAGCTGCAGAGCAGCCTGTGGTCTGCTGCCTATGATGGTTGTGGGGCAGGTGGAGCCCCCGTGATATGGAGCCATGAGAGCCAGAAGGCAGCCAAGGTGGCTGTGGGGGAGTCGTATGGCACTAAAGAACAGTGGGGGCAGTGGCTAGGGATGCCATGGTACAGAAGACCAAAGCTAGGAGGCAGAGGGCAGAGCCGAGGGTCAAGGTGAGGCTCTCCCCGTGGAGCTGCTTACCTGCAGGGTGATGATGTCTTGCCTGGAAAAGGGCTCATCAGTCAATAAGTCCCTCAAGTTCTTGGCCTTGATGTTTAGCTGCTCCACTGCCTGTAGCAGGACAGAGGTGTCAGGATCCCTTCTAGGCCATGACACAGAGATAAGAGCCACCCTCGGGTGCACAGTCTCGGATGCTTTCATAGCACAGACTAGCTAATCCAACCTGGCTGCTTCAGGAAAGAGGTCTAACATGGGCTCTCCTGTGCTATAGGCTGCTCCTGCCCCTCCCACCAACCTGGCACCTCCTTCTTCCTAAGAGCCTAGCTGCTCCTTTTCTCCCAGGTACCTCCCAGAGTCTGGTTCTTTCCATGCTGAAGACATGGGAAGACTCCCTGGGATACAGGAACCCTTGCTTAGGCAGCCCGAACTGCCTGCCTAGGTTTCAGGTCCAAAGGCCACCAGAGTGACCTGGCTTTTTTGTTGTTGTTGTTGTTGTTTGGTTGGTTGGTTGGTTTTGGTTTTTCAAAGCAGGGTTTCTCTGTGTAACAGCCCTAGTTGTACTGGAACTCACCTTGTAGATCAGGCTGACCTCGAACTCGTAGAGACCCACCTGTCGCTGCCTCCTAAATGGTGGGATTAAAGGTGTGTGCCACTGCTACCCAGCTTAAGTCACCTGATCTTTATTTTAAACCCTCATAAAGCAGGAAGGCTACCTAGCCAGAGATGAGGCCTGTGCTGAAGGCTATAAAGTTATAAAGCCCATGAGGACAGACATGCTCACTGTTCCTGGTTCACCTCCAGCACTCCCAAAGCACATGTGAGGACCCACATTACACAGTCCCACTCATTACAATAAAAGTTTACCTCATAGGTGTAGACATTGCCAGTTGTCCTGATAGCCACAATATGAGTGTTGTCAGTAAACACCGAGTACAGCACTGGACAGTGGTACTGACCTAGAAAGGAAGCACACATAGGGCTAGTGGCCCTTGAGAGCTCTGATTAAGCAATCCTGAGAGGACATATTTATAACCCAGCTACTCAAGAGGCTGAGGCAGAACAGACAAGGCCAGCTGGACAATTCAAGAAGTTGAAGGGTCTTGGATGGAGAAATGGCTCTGTGCATAAGAGCACTTGACTGCTCTTCCAGAGGACCAGGGTTCAATTCCCAGCACCCACATGGCAGCTCACAACTGTCTGTAACTCTAAGATCTGACACCCTCATGCAGACATACATGTAGGCAGAACACCAATAGACAGAAAATAAATAATAAAAAATACTTTTGTCTCAAAGTGAAATTTATTTTATTTATTTATTATATATACAGTGTTCTGTCTGTCTGTATGCTTGCAGACCAGAAGAGGACACCAGATCTCATTACAGATGGCTGTGAGCCACCATGTGGTTGCTGGGAATTGAACTCAGGACCTCTGAAAGAGCAGTCAGTGCTCGTATCCTGAGTCATCTCTCCAGCCCCTCAAAGTGAAATTTTTAAAGGAGGCTCAGTGGCAGTACATTAGCCTAGCATGCGCTAAATATTGCACAAGAGAGACAGGGAGGGAAGGACAGGTGGTGGCGGCGCACACCTTTGATCCCAGCACTGGGAGGCAAAGGCAGGCAGATCTCTAAGTTCGAGGCCAGCATGGTTGACAGGTCGAGTTCCTAAACTGTAGAAGCTACACAAAGAAACCCTGTCTGGGGGGTAGGGAGGGCGAGGAAGGAACTAGTAGGGGTCAGAGAAGGGAAGGAAGAAGAACCTTAGGCCAGCTACCAAGCCCTGGGAAGCACAGGGATGGTAGCCATTCAAGCTCCATTTCCACACTGTTAACAACTCCTATTGTTTTACAAGCCCCAAGCCTTGTTTCCTCTTACTCAGAGCACTGTTAACCTCCAGAACAGCTCAGATGACCAGAGACCCACAGCACCCCTTTAGCTCCTGGCCTTCCTTACCTAGCTCTCTTCCTGCCCCAAAAGATGATCTCCCATCCAGCAAGGGCCTCGTCAGATAAATGGCGGTGGGGTGAGGTGGGTAGGACAAATAGATGTATCCATCCACATGCATCTAGATAGACTTCTAAAAATTTTGTTTTAAAATAAAAAAAGAACTCTTACACACATACATACCAAAAACAAAAACAAAACAAACCTATGGAAATTTAACCACTGTGTGTCTATTTGATGACCAGGGAATTCTTGTTCATTTTTAAGTGTCATAAGGTCATTATGAAGGGGCTGGACAGATGGCTCAGCGATTAAGAGTATTGCCTGCTTTTCCAAAGGTCCTGAGTTCAATTCCCAGTAACCACATGGTGGCTCACAACCATCTGTAATGAGATTTGGTGCCTTCTTCTGGCCTGCAGGCATACACGCAGACAGAATATTGTATACATAATAAATAAGTATTTTTTAAAAAAAATGATTATTATGCAGATGTAAGTCATTACCTTTTAATTAATGTACTACATTTTGGGTTTTTTGTTTGTTTGTTTGGTTTTTCAAGACAGGCTTTCTCTGTGTAGCTCTGGTTGTCCTGGAACTCACTTTGTATAGACCAGGTTGGCCTTGAATTCAGATTATCTGCCTGCCTCTGTCTCCTGAGTGCTGGTATCATACAACCACTACCTAGCTTTGTATTATAATTTTATTCATTAACTTTGTGTGCTGGGGGAGGGGACAGGGTGTGCACATGTCACAACGCAAATGTGGAGGTCAAAGAATAACTTCAAGAATTCGGTTCTTTCCTTCCACCGTAAGTTCTGTAGATGGAACTCAGATTGTCAGGTGTGGCAGCAAGTGCCTTTACCCTCTGAGCCACCTCACTAAGCCCTACAGAGCAAAACAATGAAGTGGAAAATGATACCATGTCTGGGATCTGCCTCAAGCACCACCCTGAGACAGCAAGGAGAAGCCCAGATGAAACCAGCAGGCTATAAGGAACTGGGGCTGCCAAGTGCATGGGTGCAAATGACTCACTAGTGCTGTGTTCGTGGGTCTGAGATTTCAAATCAAACCAAAGTAGACTTGGTCAAGGTAGCATGCACCTAAAATCCTAGCAATTGAGAGTCTGAGAAGGATCAAGAATTCAAGGCCAGACTCAGCTACAAAATGAGTTTGAGTTTGCAGCCAATCAGGACTTTACCTAATAATAAAAAGCTAAAAAAGCAGGGGAGGGGGGACAACAAGGCTAGTTCATTAGTAGAGGACTCGCATAGCAAGTACAGCCCTACTTCCCAGCACTGCCAAAAACTGAGGCCCAATCCGCACCTCTAGTCAGTGTTTCTCCGTTGGTCTCCCTAGCACCACAGGACTGATCTGCCTCCTGTCTTCACCTCACAGTCTTAAAGTCACATGCCCTTGTTCCCATTGTTTCAACAGTACTGAATTTCTGCCACGCATGGACATGTTCGAGCATATGCCTGGCCTTTGATGCACCTGACCCCTCTACCTAGAATGTTCTTCCCACATGTCTGCTGCCCTCTGTGGGTATCCTGCTGGCCCACTTCCCTCCTCTACTTCTATCTAAAACAGACAGGACATCTGACGCCCTACACATCTGCCTAGATTCCTCCCCCACCAACACAAGCTCTTCTCACTCCAGAACAGACACCACCTCACCCCACTTGCTTGTTCTCTGCACATCTCCAGGAGTCTCTGCTCTAGAACAGACACATGTGACCTAGGAACAGGGCTGCTGGAGGTCAGACAATGAAGAAAGATGGCCCGTTCTCTCTATGCTTGCAGCACTTCCCTGGAAAACACACCAGTGAGCACTGACACAACCTCAACTACGGTACTCATGTCAGAGTGAAACCATAAAGAACCTGCAACAAGATCAGACCAGGACAGGGACAGGACAGCTGCGTTACCTGGATAGACAACAACGGGGCACAAAGGGACTTAGAGTAGGAGGCCCCAATGGAGCAGAGGTCTGCAGGAGGAGTGATGATTGGCAGTCTACTTAAGAGCAGAATGGAAATGCCTCCCAAACACCCATAACTACAGCTGGGCTAGCCACTCTGGACTTTGGCTGAACAACTTACACCTACAGTCAAGAATAGGCCATAGCCTCAGCCAGGTATGCCCCATGCACGAGGCCCAACCATGGCACCAGCAGCTTACAACAGCCCAACAGCCTTTGTGGGAGCCACCTATCCCTACCTAAACTACCTGACCCTTTGAGAAGTCACGTGACATCCGGGAAAGCAAAAGCAAATGTCAGAAAGGAATGACTGAGGTTGGAGATGTGGCTCAGGTAGAAGACTTGTTTAGCCTCCAAGCACAAGAGAAGAGAAAAGAATGTCTGATTACAGACAAGAAGTTGGTGAGAGCAGGAGCTCGGGGTTCTGTGACCAGTCCTGGAGCTGGCTACAAAAGGGCTCTCACCTTCACTGTTCTTTGCAAAGTTCAGCTTGATCAAGGACTTCCCATCAAGTTTCTGGAAGACAGACAATTAACAATAATGAGTAAGGGGAGAAATAAAATGAAGGCTGCTAAGTTAGGAGCAACAAAGACAGAAGAGAAGGATCTGCCCAACTGACTCTCTTAAGCTTACACTAGCGGAAATCTCTCTGGGAGTCTCCAAGACACAGCCAGGGCTCCTGAAGGCTGTAGATGCAAGTCTATGTAGTTGCACTGATGCAATCTATAAACCCAGGCTGTATGCAGATCCCCAGATTTGTAAACCACCAAATTCAACAAATATAAGGGGTAACCACTGCGCTAAATGGTAAAGCTGTGGAACAAAGACTGGTCTGTATTTCCACAATGCCTAAACTTTTATTTTTGGTACCAGGTACCAAACTCAGGACCTCATATATGTGTGCTCTACCACTGAGCTCCATATCCAGGCCTTGTCTGAACTTAATGTGTGGGTGCAGGGTCACTGAGGCCTAAAAACCTGAACTCAATCCCTGAAACCTATAGTGGCCAGGAGAACAAACTCCTGAAAGTTGTCCTCTGGCCACATGAGCACCACAGCCATACCCACATCATATACATATCTCTAGTAATAATAATGGTAATAAACAAAAACAAATGAATATTCCTAAAACTAAGAGGAAAGCCAGAGAAATGCCTCAGCTGGTAAAGGTGCTTGCCATTGAGCCTGATGGTATGTATGTTCCATGCTCAGCAGGACCTACACAGAGAAAGGAGAGAACTAACTCCCAGAGTTGTCCCCCTGACCTTTACACACATGCTGTAGGCCCACATGTACATACACATACACAAAATAAATAAACGTAAGAAATAGAGCTAGTGAGAGTACTCGGGTATTCTGCTTATATTGTGGTACAAGTATTTTTTAAAAAGGAATAAAACACTAAAAGTGGAAAAACCGGTGCTGTAGCTCAGTAGTGGAGTGTGTGTTCAGCATGGATAAAGACCCAGGTACAGCACAAAAGGAATGGACGTGCCCACAGACTAGGGGTGCTGCGAGAGAATACACCCCTATAGGATTTCAAGAACAAAGGAAATGATCCAGCTTCTAATCATAGCCAAAGTAACTGCTATATGTAGTTTGGCAGCTGCAGATCACAGACCAACTAACAAGATTTGATATCCCAAAGAGCACCTGTGACATAGAATGCAAAAATTACAAAAAGCACCCAGGTGTAACTGAATAACAATGTCCACCAGAAAAGGAGATAACTGTAGAAAAGATACCAGAGGTGGCAGCTTGGAAGCAGAGGAGGACAGGAGACAGGGAACACTAACAAGATGACAAAGGGTAGAGCTGCAGCAGGTAGCTCTACCCTTTGGTAGGTAGTCATGGCCTCAGGAAGGCACAGGCGGGCAGCAGGAGCCTCATAAAAAGGAAAACAGTAAAGGGTATGCTCCCAGTGTGGGGACTCGGGAAAAGCCCTGGAGCTTCCTGGCTGTCAGCAGAAAAAGCTGGTCACACTTCCAAGTGAGGAACACCAAAGAAGGAAAGCAAATTACTTTGGGAGGTAAGGTCCAAGATTCTGCCCCAAGCAGCCCGAGATCAAGTGCACAGGCTCTGGAAGCAGTCTAAGACGCCTGTGTACATTGTTGCTCCCCTTTCCTCGGGAACAGGAAGAAATGGGCTGGCAACACACATATCTACACTCGAAAGAATCCCTGGACCTCATGGCAGTTCTAGACTGTCACCAGGGCCAGAAAGACTCCGGCCAGCTTCCTGCCACCCGGTAGGTTGGAGTCTTAAAGGCTTGAGATTTTATATGTGGATATTTTTTTGGAGGGGAGGGGATGCTAGAAAATGGAAGTCAAGGCCTTCTGCAAGCGAGGTAAGTGCTCCATCATTGAGCTGCATCCCCCAGCTCAAAGGTTCTTCTTGCCAAGGGAGCTCCTGTCCCAGGCTGAGAAAGTGAAGGGGCAACATGATCTACTCTATCAGGAGATGCAGAGTCACAGACTAAATACATTGAAAGTTCCCTGGATCTGGGTCGAAAATGCTCCCCCAGGCTTCAGGAGCCGCCGGTTACCGTTCAGCCACGGCCAAGTCCAAGAACCACACCACACACAACCAGTCCCAGAAATGGCACAGAAATGGCATCAAGAAACCCCGGTCACAAAGATACAAATCTCTCAAGGGGGGTCGACCCCAAGTTTCTGAGGAACATGCGCTTTGCCAAGATATACAACAAGAAAGGCCTGAAGAAGATGCAGGCAAATAACGCAAAGGCCATGAGGTCTCTGGTGAAGTCCCAGGAGGTAAAGCCCCAGGTGCCAAAGGGCCCCAGCCGCAAACTCACCCGGCTCCCGTTCACTGCTCACCCCAGGCTTGGGAAGCAAATTAGAAGCTACATGGCCAGGGGTTGTGGGCTCCAAAAAACAAAACCCAAGGTTCAAGCCAAGGCAGAGGCCTCAGCTGCAGCTCAGGCTCCCAAAGGTGCCCAGGCCCCTGTGAAGGCCCCATAAAAAAGGTCTCAGTCTGCCAATGTGAAGACAGATGGACAGGTGTGAATATCCATACAGTATTTGCAGATGATCAGGACCTTATGCTGTTTTTACACATAAACTTGAGGCAAGATCTGTTTAAAAAAAAAAAAAAGAAAAAGAAAAAATGTTCCCCCAAAGTTTGCAGGCCCCAGAAACCTTCCTTCAAACAGAGCTTCCATGGAGGAAATCAAGTGAAGATGGGGTCACGCTGGCAGCAGCAGTGCAATGGCCTGGCCTCAGATCCTGCCTGCACTGAGTACCAGGCTCCACTCAGAGCCAATCAGGACAGTGACAACTGCTCAGGAAGCTCTTGCCGAACTGTGGCCAGTCCCCAAAACATCACAGTACTAAGTGACTGCTGAGGTCCCTACTGCCCTAAGGACAGGACTCAGACTCAACACCTTAAACATCTTGCTGGACCAGTCTACAGCTCTCTCCTTCCCTCCACCTTCAGCCTGGTCAAATGTACACAGCATCTCTCACCCAGACAAATGCATGCTCCCCAGCAGCTCTCCCCAGGGCCACCAAGCTCCTGAGAGCAACTTCCTGACAAAACCAGGTCTATCCTCAATACAGGTGAGGTCATGACCCTGCCTGGGCATCCAGTCCACCAGAGTAAGTCCAGGGCCAGCAAGGCTCCCCAGGACGGCATCTAAATGTCATCACCTCTCATCCTCAGGACTGAGCATGACAGCAGCTCCTCACAGACTTCCTCAGTCCACCTACCCTCCCTCTTTCCTTGCCATTCCTCTCTGCATCACTTCAATGACACACACCTGACATGCCTGCCCCATCCCCATGTTGGGCCCAGCAAACACAAAGTTGATGCCTTCTTAGCAGGGACAACTGAAGAGGTGAAGAACTAGGCCACAGAAGGAAAGGACACGGACCTCTAAGACACAAAGGGAACAAAGGGCCAGAGGCCAATTAAAATGTGTAAAAAGTGAGGTTAGAGAATAAGCTAGCTACAATCGCAACCGTGAACTACTGGTCCTGAGTGGCACTCAGGTCAAAATATTGGACCTGTGCAGGTCATACAGGAAGTGGCTTAACTGATATAAACAAGACTAAAAAAAAGTTTTGGTTTTTTTTAAATATTTATTTATTTATTATGTATACAATATTCTGTCTGTGTGTATGCTGCAGGCCAGAAGAGGGCACCAGATCTCATTACAGATGGTTGTGAGCCACCATGTAGTTGCTGGAAATTGAACTCAGGACCTTTGCAAGAGCAGGCAATGCTCTTAACCTCTGAGCCATCTCTCCAGCCCAAGTTTTGTTTTTTCAAGGCAGGGTTTCTCTGTGTTGCCTTGGCTGTCCTGGGACTTGCTCTGTAGACCAGGTTGAGCTCAAACTCACAGAAATCTACCTACTGCTGCTGTTTCTAAAGAGCTGGGATTAAAAGCAAGAACAACTTTCCTTTTGTCAAAAAAAAAAAAAAAACACCTGCCAGGTGATGGTGCCATATGCCTTTAATCCTAGCACTCAAGAGGTAGAGGCAGGCAAATATTTTGAGTTTAAGGCCAATCTGATCTACAAAGTGAGTTCCAGGACAGTCAAGGCTACAGAGAAAACAAAGACAAAAACACCCTTGATTTGTCAAAGACATGGGAAAGAAGCATTTTCTTCTTGCACTGTGGCTAAAAGCTTAAAATGTTTAACAGTTTTGAATGGCAGTTGGCCAGTAACTATGGAAACTGACAATGCACCTTCTTTTGACTCTGCAGTCCTAGAAGAATATTGCTGTGTGTTCAAGAAAATGTGCATGGGGCCATTTCTGCACTTCTGCTGTGACTGGCGAAGGATAGAGGATTCAGTACGACTCAGTCACAAGGACAGACACGAGACCAATGATGGCTCAGTAGGCAAAGTCACTTGCCACCAGGTCTGATACCCTGGGTTAGACCGCTAGAACCCTATGGTGAGAGGAGCTGTCCTCTGACCCTGTGCCATGGCATGTGCACTGACACAGAAATGCCTACATATTTACACATACACTCACAAGCAAACAGTGTAAAAACCCATCCTTTCTAAAGGACAGAGTCTCAAGAAAGGCTGTGCTTTCTGTACTGACACCCTTGAGACTTACCAGCACCTTGAAAAGCACATAAAGCAAGATACAGATGAGTCACCAGCTCTGATCAAACTCAGGAGAAAACATAGACAGCCAGACCTGGAGGCTAAGGCAGGAATGCTGTGAGTGAGAAGACAGCCTGGGCTACACAATAAGACCCCCGACTCAGGCAGAGATATAATGAATGGTGGATATCCACAGGAGACTAGTACCAAGACTCCACAATATTCCAATCTCAAAATGATGTAGCATTTGAATGTAACCTATGTGTACCCTCTCACCAACTTTAAAACATCTCTAGACTGCTTGCTACCTATTACAATATAAATCCTACACAAATTACTATCTGATACTGTTTAGGAAAAAATAACAAGAAAAAGTGCATAGATATTCAATACAGATACAATTTTTCCACAAATACTTCTTTTTGAGCATGGTTGATTGAATCTAAGAACACAGAATCTGCAAATACAGAGGCAATGGAAAGCAGAGGAATGTCACCCCAGGCCCTATGAGCAGTTCTCCGCTGAGGACAAAGCAAGGGCAGGGCACAGCTCCACGGCAACAAGGACCTGCATGACCACCTACCTCTCCATTGCTGGGATTGGTCCCATACTTCTTAAGCCATGGAACAATGTTCCTGATGGGAGAGAATAAAAACTGTCAATAGGGCACTGGAGAGATGGCTCAGCGGTTAAGAGCATGTGGTGCTCTGAGCTCCCAGCATCCACATGACATGGCAGTAATAATTCTATATGGAACTCCAGTTTCAGAGAATCCAGTGTCCTCTCCCACTCCCACAGGCACTGCACTAATGTGCTGCACACACATACAAGCAAAACATCCACACACATAAAATAAAAATAAATCTTAAAGGGGCTGGAGAGACGGCTCAGAGGTTAAGAGCACTGGCCGCTCTTCCAAAGGTCCTGAGTTCAATTCCCAGCAACCACATGGTGGCTCACAACCATCTGTAATGAGATTTGGTGCCCTCTTCTGACCTGCAGGGATACATGCAGGCAGAACACTGTATACATAATAAATAAATCTTTAAAAATAAATAAATGAATAAATAAATATTTTTTAAAAAAAAGTCACCAGTAGGTGCTGCCAGTGACAACCTGGAAGCCCTAGGGCTATTTCCAGGTGAGATGTAAGGCAGGCTGCACCTCCCTACAGAAAGGAAGAACACCTTCCATCAGAGTGGGTGCACTGTGTAGTTTCCACACACATTTGGTGACTTGGCGTGTTCTGGTGCTGGAGCCTGAACACACACTTGTGCATAAAGACTGTGTCTCCACTGAGCTCCATTCAGCATCTGCAGGAGTTTTACGGAAGTCGCATATAAGCAAGAACTTTAACTAGGCAAAAGGGCAAACAGATGTTAGCATGCTTACACAAAATACCAGGTCAGCATCAGAAATTATACTTGCAGCCACGCATGGTGATAAACCACCCATTGTGTGAGCCTGGTTACTTATGAGATGAAGGCAGGAAATCACTTGAACCCAAGAATTCAATGCCAGGGCAACACAATGAGCCCTCTCCCACCTTAAAGCAAATCAATCAATCAATCAATCAATCTATATATCGGGCCCAGAAGGCATAAGCATTCATAGTGATGATCCTGAACCGTGAGCTCTTTATAGTAAAATTTTCTACTGAAGTATTTTACATTTTTTTCTAAATTTAGGAAACATTTTAGAATCTAAAACAAGCTTGAAATATAAAACAAAGATAACATATGTTGACACATAAAATAGGGGATAATGCTTCAGAATGTAATGCTGGAAGTGTGTACCTTCATCACAGCTCCGCTTTCATCAAGCAGACAATATCCAGTCCATCACTGCTCCACAGCAAGAGCAGACAGTGACCAGCTGGTCACTAAAACATGGTAGGAGGACACATCTCCATTCTAAGCAGTGGCAACAGCATCTGTCAGCTAATACTGCCTGCTAGAGGCCACAGGGCACTTCTGCCATGTCCCCGAAGACCTGCCTGTCCCTCTCAATTCCCAGAGAGGCTCACCTAGATCTCAGGAGGTTTCTAGGGACAAGACTTTGGTGACTCTGTCCCTGCTTAGAGCTATAAACTCAACACTCCTTTCTTTAGTCGATGTCAACAACCCTGCAGTATCTGTTCAATCAAGACAGTGCTGGGAGACAGCGCAGGGACAAAGCACTTCTCATTCGAGCACAAAAACCTGAGATTTGGATCCCCAAAAAATCTAGACAAGACAGCACTATCTGTAACTTCAGTAGGGACTAGAGGCACTGAGACAGGCAGACCCTGGGAGATGCTTGTCAGCCCGCCTAGCTGGCACTGCAAGTTCCCTGACAAAGTCCTGCTTCAAAAACATAAGGTGGAGAACAGCAAAGATGGCTGAGGTCAACCGCTGGCCTCCACATACACGTGTACCTGAACACAGCTGCACATACACATACACACCACATGCTTGGGCACAAACATGCAAACACAGACATGGACACACACAGACACATGCACGCACACACACCCCACAAATAAAAATTTAAAAAGAAATTTAAAAATTCAAGAGGAAACTCACAGCAAATCAAAGACGACACCTTCTGGAGTGCAGACCGGGTAGACAAAAGGCTGCAGGGAGAGACTGAAAAGGACAGAGATCTCTGGTGAGCTTCCGGGAACACTAAGCACACTATAGTTCCAACAACCTTCCCAGCAGTTCCAAGTGTGCTCTGCCACCGACTCGCCACACCACTAAGGACGCATCATCAAGAGGTGCCTCGGGACCTGGTGCCTCGGCACTGGACTTCTCTTTCAGGCCCACTTCATGCTGCGTAAGGTTTTGTTGACAGATTCAAGTCAAAAAGAGGTCCCCAGTGTTGGTCCTGAGGAAGCAGGACTGCGATTCCCTCTCCAGACCCTCAGAGAGCAGGCAAATCAAGCTTTCCTCCCAAGAGCCACCCTTCCCCATGCCGAGGTTTGATGAGGCCACTGTGGTCTGCTGTGCCTGCACCACTCATGTGTGCTGGGAACATGACCGAGGGAAAGCCGAATCCATGGGAATTTCTGAAGCACGGAGGTGGAGAGGTCTACAGCAGCCTCAACTACCCTAATCATTCCCACAGGAGGCGGCTGCCTGGTGAATGGAGTCCGTGACGCTGCTTTCCTTGCTTTCTTGTGATGGTCTCAAGCCTTTAAATCTAGTACCTGGGAGGCAGAGCGGGTGGATCTTCTTCAGTTAGAGGCCAGTCTGGTCTACATAGTGAATTTCAAATCCACCAGAAACAGAACAGCATAGATTCTATGTTAAAAAAAAAAAATGGCAGGGTGGTGATGGCACACAACTTTAATTCCAGCACTTGAGAAGCAGAGGCAGGTGGATCTCTGAGTTTGAAGGCAAGTTCCAGGACAGCCACGAATACACAGAGAAACCCTGTCTCAAAACAAAAAACAAAAAACAAAAAAAAAAAAACCCAACAACAAAACCAACTTTGACTTTAACTTTAACTAGCCAGTAAGTGACTGGAACAGAACAGGGCCAGTTGGAGACTCTGGTGGACAGCTCGCTCCCCAGCACACCCTGAAGGGCTATGTTCTCCACCCAATCCGCAGCGGTTAAAAGAGACAAGTGGAGTCAGAGGCCTCCAGAGGTGCTCAAGAGTGGAAGCAGGGCTCTCTCAAGGACCAGTCTAAACCAGGTACCATTCATTCCAACAAGGCTGATGACCAAGCCAGGAGTGATGAAGGATCTCTGCTTGTTCACCCTTCCTAAGCAGGTACTACTAAGCCTCCATTACCCCAGCAGGGCTTCCTGAGGGGCAGGTGCAGGGAGGCCCTGCTTCTGAAATAAACAAGTACGTCCAGGCGTTGTCCAGGCCGTTCTACGCTATGGTCTGTCCCCGCTGATTCCTGTGCTGCAGCCTCCCTCCCTTTCTCACTGCATCTGGCTGACAGGCTCCCACTAGGTCACCTGACCTTCAGACTAGAGTTTGGAGGAAAGGACACCAACCACACCAGCCTTCCCTCCCTCCCCATCTTACCCTGAGAGAACAGCATATGGAGATGGCTGGGTCCTTGTCTAGGAATGCTTCCACAGCAGTCCCTTGTCCAGATACCAATATGCCCCCAAAGCAACACCTGACAGCTCTGCATCTGGCTACCCTCCCCTTCCCACCAGTACCTGCCAGAATCATCACTATGGCTGATGTACAGCTACTTACAATGTGGAACACAAATAGGGCGCTACAGGCACAGCCTGGAGTCAGACCATCTGGGCCACACGCAATCCCGGGGCTTATGCTACTCTTCCAGGCACCTGTCCTCCCGGACAGAAAGTAAGCTTAGCCACAGGGTCCACTCAGACTCAGAAGATTGTGGTAAAAAAAAAAAACAAAACTGGTAACCACAAATACAGTAACCAGAAAACACCCATGCACTGGCCTCATGGCTGGGCCACTTTCTCCCACTCAGGTTATCTTGAAAGGCAGAGAAAACTCTGAACGCATCTCAAAGAGTCAAGTTCACACAGATTGTACATGTTGAAATTCTGACTTTCTAGGTATCACACCAGGCTTAAGAAGGTTTGGATTTGGAGATATTTTAAATTTTGGATTTTTCAGATCAAGAATGATCAACTGTCTATGCAAAAGTCTGTGCAAAAATACTCCAGATGCAAGTATGGTAGCCTGTAATTCTAATACTTGAGAGGTAGAAGCAGGAGAATTAGGAGTTCAAGGCCAGCCCAAGTTACAGAGTTAAAAGACCCTATCTTAAAACATACACACACACACACACACACACGGGCTGGAGAGATGGCTCAGTGGTTAAGAGCACATTATTGCTCTTTCAGAGGTCTTAAGTTCAATTCCCAGCAACTACATGGTCGCTCACAACCATATATAGTGGGATCTGCTGCCTCTGATTCTGTGCATGAAGACAGAGCACACATATACATGAATAAGTAAATCCAAAAAACAAGAGATACACATGTATTTCTAAACATATATGCTAAAAAATAAATAAAAAATAGAACACACACACATTTGGAGAGATGATAACCAAAATAAAGCAGAAGCCTTTTAAAGGTCTTACCTACAGTGATCAAAAGGTAAGCGGCGAAAACTTGTCCGTGTGATATCTGTTTAAATAAAATAAAAACCAGAAAGCTTATTTGGAAAATATTTCAACCATGTGCACCTACCACTAAAACTACATTACTATGTATTAACTTTTTTTGTTGCTGCAGTTTCAAGAGAGAAGAGTGTGTTATGTGTTGCTGGAGAGCAAACCCAGGGCCTTGTATATGCTCTGTGCTAGGTGCATCACTGAGCGACACCTCCAGGCCCGAGGTTAAGAATCTTGGTAGCAGGGCAATGGTGCACACCTTTAGTCCCAGCACTCAGGGGACAGAGGCAGGCAGATCTCTGTGAGTTTGAGGCCAGCCTGGCCTACAAAGTGAGTTCCAGGACAGCCAGGATTACACACCCACACACACACATACACACACACACACACACGAAAAAAAAAGAACAAACCTGTCTTGAAAAACCAAAAAAGAAAAAGAAAAGAATATTTTGTTGGCTCAGAGGACCTGAGTTCAAGGATTAAAGGCATGCACCACCATGCCTGGCCTAACTAAGCTGTTTTTTACTAACAACTGTGACTATGACTGGGAACAGTGGCTCACACCTGAATCTCAGCCCTCTCGGAGAGGCAGAAACAGAAGAGTTCAAGGTCAGCCTGAACTACTTAAGACTATATTTTATATTATTTTTCGAGACAGGGTTTCTCTGTAGCTTTGGAGCCTGTCCTGGAACTCACTCATGTAGACCTCGAACTCACAGAGATCTCCCTGCCTCTGCCGTCTGAGTGCTGGGGTTAAAGGCGTGTGCCACCACCGCCCAGCAAGGCTATATTTTAAAAAAGGGGAGGGGGAACTGGAGAGATGGCTCAGCGATTAAGAGCACTGATTGTTCTTCCAGAGATCCTGAGTTCAATTCCCAGCAACCACATGGTGGCTCACAACCACCTATAATGAGATCTGGTGCCCTCTTCTGGCCTATAGGCAGGACACTGTATAAATAAATAAATAAATAAATAGGCAAACAAACAAACAAATCTTTTTTTAAAAAGTCAGATGGTAGTGATGCATACCTTTAATCCCAACACCTGGGAGGCAGAGACAGGCAGATCTCTGTGAGTTTGAGGCCAGCCTAGTCTACAGAATGGGTTCCAGGACAGCCAAAGCTACACAGAGAAACCCTGTCTCAAAAAAATAAAGTATATATGTGTATGTGTTTATATGTATATATATATGGCCTGATGGACTGGAGAGAGAGGACCTGAGTTCAATTCCCAGCACTTGCACGGCAGCTCACAACTGTAACTCCAGTTCCAGGGGATCCGGCACCCTCACACAGACACACATGCAAGCAAAACACCAATGGACATAAAATAAATTAATTAAAAAATAAATAAAAAGACCATGTCCTTTTTTTCTACAGCCTTGACAACTCTGGGTACTACCATTCCTTTTTTCCTTCTATAAAGAAACGTTTATAGCACTTCCTAAAGGAAAAGCCATGTTAAATTATATTTTTAAAACTCTCCACTCAGAGGTGAGTATACTCTACTACGCTGAGTATATGTCCTCTTTTCTGGACTCTGGACTCCCCGGTTATACACTGTAATGTCAGTGTTCTGGTTCTTATCCTTTATTCTGGATCACTGTATACATTCCTCAGCAGCACCAGCATCCTTACCTGGCTTCCTGCCGCCATAGAAGTGAGTGTACTCAGCGCAGGTGATGTACCTAAGGGAGACAAGAGTATATTACTAGCTCCCCTCCCAGAAAGGATAGAAGCCGTAGAAGCAACCTGAGAGAACTTACCCCCACTTGACAGATGCACAGGAAACAGCTGCAGTGCCAGACACAGAATGATAAGCACAAGAAGAAGAAAGATAAGCATCAACAGGGCCTTGCCCAGAAAGAGATGAACTGGACTTAAGGAGACCTGACAATGAGAAAGAGCTAGGCCGACAAAGACCTGGGGAAGCCTTTACAGGCCAGCACTTACTGAGACGGGGGCAGGAAAAGCTGAATCTGTTCCAGGAAGGAGATACTAGAGGAACGAGTAGGAGGTCCGGGGGCAGCAGACGGAGACAGAAGTAGCTGTGTCAAAAAGGAGTCTTAAAGATCACAGAAAGTCTCTATATTTGCCTTCAGTGTGGTGAGAAGCCGTTGGCTGGTTGTGAGCAGGACCCAGGCAACCTAACACAGCTCTAGTTGCTGTGCGCAAGGCTGAGAATTGTCTTCAGTCTATGTATAGTAAACCAGGGACTTACTATGTAACCACTGGGACAGGATGGGAAGAGAGCAAGCTTAAGGTGTGAAACTTTATCAAGAGTTCCCTTTCAGGCCTACTAATTCTGAGAGCGAGCTATTGAGTAAAGATTACACAGCTGGCTTAGTGCAAGAGAGACTAGACAACTAGAAAAGATCACCCACTGAGAACCAGAAATGAACGGGATACTTATGAAGTCTGGGACAAGGGAAGGAAGAGGAATGAGAAAAGAGAGGTCACTGACGTAGATAAAAAACAAAGCGCATATACCATCCCACTAAAGACCGGCTTCGGAAAGGGAAGAAGCCCAAGGACTGAGAGCTGGCACCAGATGTGGCAATACAGAAGTCAAAGGCATCCTTGCAGGCAATATGGGGGAGACCATCTTATTACACTAGTTTCAAGACACAATAGAAAACAGCATACAGGCAGACAGTCGCAAATAGAGTACGCCCCTCTAGTCTTAAACTGTCGCCTGTGTGTAGGCTGGCAGGCGAGAGCCAGGACGAAGTGGCCCTGGCTGTGCTGGGCAGACAACCAACGCAGGGGCAGAAAGAAAGGGAAGCGGTAGAGGCAATCCCCAGAAGAGAGCTTGTCCGGCCGCGGAGGCCGCGCTGAGGGGCGATACCGTGACAGCAAGAACTGAGGCTTTCGGGGGGAGATGACCTTCAGGATGGCGAAAGGCTGGGACGAAAGGTGCTGCCCAACTTACATCTTATCCTTCTGGTGTTGTCGCTTCCCCATGGCGGCGAAGAACCTGAAGGAATCCCAGCAGACGACCAGACTCTGGCGCCTCCGCTTTCTCAACTACTTCCGGAGTTCGTCTCACCCATCCCGGAAGTAGGAATAAGGCATTCTGGGAGCTGTGGTTTCCAAGTGCCCAGCGTGCGTGCTAAGCGCAGCCACCGTGCTAAACTGAGGATTGATGCTTCTGAGTAGAATCTTCTTTTCCTGTCTCCAGCCAAACTGCGTTGCAACTTCTCAGAGACTTCTCTGTGCACTGATTACTTGCCCAACCCATGCTATGCCAGCCAGATCCGCTCAAACCCGCCCTCCCTTGTATCTAAAGCCTCTTGCCTTGTCTCCTGGACCAGTGCCTGCAAAAGCGTGTCCATCCCACTGTCTGCTCACCTCCCTTTCTTTGCTCTCCGTCGGCCCCCAAGTCCAACAGGTGGCAGGTGATGAAGCCCTCAGGTCCAGTGCCCTCCCTAGTCCCACACATCTTTGCTGCTAGATCATTCCCTGGGGCCAGGTCCTTGGTCTGGCTTGTTTTTTGCCTGAGAGTGCATAAGACTAGAGATTAACCCTAAGGGGTATGCTAAACTTGAATTTCCTTTTTAAAGTATGTGTGTGATCAACTATGTGCCTTGACACATGTGTGGAGCTCATAGGATAAGATTCAGGAGTTGGTTCCCCTCGCCTGGCTTGTGCTGCATGTACTTTACCTGTGAAGCCATGAAGCCATCTCTCCAGCCTAACCTTGTGGTTTTATTTATTTTTTTATGTGCATTGGTGTTTTGCCTGCATGTATGTGTCAGATAGGTGATGGGAACTGTATTGGCCCTCTGGGAGAGGAGCCAGTGTGTTTAACTGCTGAGCCATCCTTCTAGCCCCCTAAGCTTGTGACTTTAAACACCGCTTAAATCCTGACTCCCAAAGCCAGTTACATGTCAGGTTCTTGTCTACATGTCTGATCAAAGAATTTTCAATCTCCCTGTCCTCCGTTGCAAATCTGTATTTTGATACTAAAGTACACACTGCAGAGCCTATATCCTGACCTCCAGCTGGTAAGTCTCCAATTCAGGACACAGCTGAGGTGTTTATTAACACATCTAAGTGGATACTGGCCACCAGGTTCTCCCTGCATCCTAGTCTCTGCCTGTTACAGGGGCCTCCCGACTGGTATGCCTGCTGCTGTGGGATAATACTCTTGTACCTGTAAAGATTTGTCACTCTTATTGGTTTAATAAAATGCTGATTGGCCAATAGCCAGGCAGAAAGTAGAGGCAGGGCATCCAGAGTGGGAGAATTCTGGGAAGAGGAAAGCCTCAGTCTTCAGTTGCCACCCAGATGCAAAGGAAGAAGATAAAAATGTTGCACTAAAAAGTAGTACCAAGTCACGTGGTGGCTAAACAAGGACAAGAATTATGGGTTAATTTAACTTGTAGGAGTTAATAATAGGCCAGGTGGTGGTGGCGCAGCCTTTAATGCCAGCACTCAGGAGCCAGAGGCAGATAGATGGATCTTTGTGAGTTCAAGGCCAGCCTGGTCTACAAGAGCTATTTCCAGGACAGGCTCCAAAGCTACAGAGAAACCCTGTCTCGAAAAAATACAGAAAAAAAAGAGTTAATAAGTCTGCGCTAATAGGCCAAACAGTTTATAATTAACATAAGCCTCTGTGTGTTTCTTTGGGACTGAATGACTGTGGAACTGGGTGGGACAGAAACTTTCTTCTACACCCTGCCTCCTACCCCAAACTTCTCCCAGCTGCCCTTCCCTATATAATTCAACCATTTTGGTTACCTGGCCTTTTCATCTGCTCTGCAGAGCCTCCTGATGGCTGTACCGGGTTTCCCCCTCCCCCTCTCCTTGTAAGGTTCAGAGTCACATCCACAATGGACTCTCCCAGATGATCCTGCCTATGACTATTCTCTTCCTTTAATCTATAATAAACTTTCTCCTTCACCATACCTAGGAGCAGTCATGTTCAGCTCCTTTTTCTTCTTTTCATTCACCACCCCGATGTGGGACATCTCTCTGTATGCTGTGAATATATTTTATTACCATTGGTTAAGAAAGAAACTAATTTGGCCAATATCAGGCAGAATAGAGCCATGCAGGAAATCCAAGCAAAGATAAAGGGAAAAGAAGGTGGAGTCAGAGAGATGCCAACAGCCAGAGAAGTGGGATGTGAGATAGTAACCCACGAGCCTCGTGGTAAAATATGGAATAATAGAAATGGGTTAATTTAAGTTTTAAGAGCTACTTAATAATAAGCCTGAGCTAATAGATCAAACAGTTTATAATTAATATTAAGTCTCAGAGTGGTTATTTGGGAACTGGAAGACAAGAGAGAAACCCCCAGTTACACCACCCTGATAAAAATGTTCAACCAGACAAATTCCTGTGTAACCAAAACAAAAAACATTGGAAGCCTCCTAGCCTTGCAGTTTTGGGGTGTCTGGAACTGTTCTCTCAAACCCTGCTTTACGGGGTAGCTTCATGTGACAGGAAGTAAAACTTACTCATTCAGCCAAAAAAGGTGGGTAATGGTCTCTACTCTCATCCAGTGGGATTAACAAGGACCCCTGTCCACCCACCACCCAAGGCAAGTCACCTTTGTCCCTTCTCAAGTCATGGCTTCTGATTTCCAAATAAATCTCATCTCAAAAGACCTTTTAGGGGCTGGAGAGATGGCTCAGCGGTTAAGAGCACTGACTACCCCTCCAGAGGATCCGGGTTCAATTCCCAGCACCCACATGGCAGCTCACAACTGTCTGAAAATCCAGTTCCAGGGGATCTGACACCTTCACACCAATGCACATAAAATAAAGTTAAATAAACCATTAAAAAAAAAGATCTTTTAGCCTAGCATGGTGGTACACACCTTTAAACCAGCACTTGGGAGGCAGAGGCTAGAGGATCTCTGTGAGTTCAAGTCCTGCCTGCTCTACATAGTAAGTTACAGTCAACTAGGAATATAAAGAGACCTTGTCTCAAAACAAAAGAGAAAGAGAGAGAAGAAATAAGCTTTCTTGGCCACCTTAATCATACCTCTCCCAGAGTTTATCACAATTTATAATTACACAGTAATTTTGTATATGTTCTGATTGTTTCTCTACAGTCCCAAGGGAGGTGTGGGCATCCATCGTGATTCAAACAGTATATCTCTAATGCCCAGTAACAACTGATATCTCACATGGAGAACAGGTTCTAAGGCCTGTATACAGGTAACAATGAGAATCACATTTTTGAAACTTAGAGAAGTATTAAGTTGGAAACTGACAAACCCACTCACTCTCTTCCTGCAAAAACACCCACCAAAGTAGGCTTGTGTTTAGAGAACATATGCAAGGAAAATATAATTCACTTGCAAGGACAGACAGGGCCAGTCACTGAAGGGAAGACCAATATTCCCACCCCATTCTCTCAAAGCACACACAAAGGAATTGCTTGTTGGGAAGCAAGCAAGGGGCCATAAAATGGTACTGATCTAAATACATACAATCCATATTTGGCAGGGTGGGGTTGTCCAGACAGAGTTTCTCTGTCCTATGGAACTTGCTTCGTAGTCCAGGCTGGCTTTGAACTCACAGAGATCACCACAACTGGCTGAACACATACTATACATATTCCATGCTACCTTAGGCTGGGAGTTACTATTGACTGTACCCCCATTTGTATCTGATGGAAGTACAGAGAGAATGTATAAGTCCTGAGGAGCCCCGCACCAGAATGCAAAAAGGTGCCTTCTGATTGGTTTAATAAAAGAGCTGACTGACCAGTAGTTAGGCAGGAGGTATAGGCAAGACAGCCAGACAGGATGCTGGGAGGAAGAAGGGCAGAATCTCAGGAGACACAGAGAGAATCAAGATGAACATGCTGTATTGAAAGAAGGTACAGACACACGACAGAAGGTAGATAAGATATATGGGTTAATTTAAAATGTAACAGTTAGCTAGTAACCAGCCTGAGCTATCGGCTGAGGATTTATAATAAGTCTCTGAATGGTTATTTGGGAGCGGTTGCTAAGACACAGAGACACTCCACCTATAATGCACCTCTGTAGGAATTTTATTCATTCCTGGGACATGGTCTGTAAGGAAGAGGTTACTCGTTCTTCTTGGCAGGAATGGACTCTGCACTGCCAGGGTCATTCTCTGAATCGTCTTTAGGTCTGGGCACAGGCTGGAACTTCTCTGAATCGTCTTTAGGTCTGGGCACAGGCTGGAACTTCTCTGAATCGTCTTTAGGTCTGGGCACAGGTTGGAACTTGAGTAGGACAGGCGGAGTAAAGATGGAAGCTTTCACAACAGGCGATGTAGTCTCATTGGTACTGGAGGGCTCACTACAGGCTGCTGCTGTCCTGCATGGGAGATGGCCAATACATGCCCATGAAGTAGGAAACTAGCACAGAGGGCTGCCAGACATACATGCAATAACATCACAGCTACAGGGTGTCTCCCAAGATATTTTTTCTTCTAGAAACCTCACCCATGAAACACCGCACTCTGTTCAGTGTTGTACGTTAAAGCATTGTTTGCGATTGTAGAAAACCCAAAACACATCTAAATGCCTGTGAAGGACACCGAGAGGAACACAATGCAAACCAGGCTGTCCCGCAGCTGTTTAAAGGAGTGAAAATGTCCCAATGGCCATATTGTTTTGTTTGGGAGACTGGGTGGCTTCAAACTATGTAATCTAGACTGGTCTTGAACGTGCAGCAATCCTCCTGCCTCAGCCTCCCAGGGGCTGCCTACTCATCCTTTCAAACCCTTTGATCAGATCCATTGCTCCCTAACACTTCCACTTGGACACCATTTTGTGAAGAGAATACAGGTTTGTAGCAATTTCCTCTAGATTGAAACATTTCCTCCTGGAGAGAAAAATCATAAAACCCAATGAATTCCAAAAACTAACAAAAAAGTTGCAAGGGTATACAAGCAGTGAACTTTGCTAAGGGGAAGAGACTCTCAAGCTGGAGAAGGAAGTCCAGCACCACTTCCACGAGGCCTCATCACATCAGGGGGAGCTTTCCAATGGCGCACCTGACTTGAGTGGCTCTCACTCCTAAAGTAACAACCATAAACGCAAGTTCACCAAGCTAAACGTGGGTAGAATCATGTCTTTGACCTTTCTCAGCACGTTGTCTAAGAGGAACAGGAATTTGCTCACACATCATCCCAGAAAAGTCACACAACTATTTCTGCATAATTTGAATAGCCATACAATATTCCATAACATGAATGCATATTTTATAATATAAAATATATTGCTTATATAAAAATATATATATTTATTTATGTAGTTTATTTATAATAGCTCTCATAGCCTTGGTTGGCCTGGATTCCTAGAACTTTTATTCTTGAGCAAGCTGATGACAAACTTCTAGCAGTATTTCTGCCTGTCCATCAAGACAGGAATTAAGACAAGAATTATCATGCCTAGGTTCATATTTCTCTCTGTGGTTTTTTTTTTTTGGTGGTGGTGGTAGTAGTGCTTTTTTCTTTTGGTTTAGATTTTGGTTACTGTTTTGGTTTGCTTTTAAGACAAGGTCTCACTGTGTTACCCTGGCTGACTTGAAACTCACCATGTAGAACCCAGGCTGGCTTCAAACTTAGAGATCTGTCTGCCACTGATGCCCCAGAGCTAGGACTAAAGGTGCGTGCCACTGTGCTCAGCCACATTTCCTCTTTTTTGCTTGTTTGTTTGTTTTTTTATGATTTATTTATCTTTTATTTTATGTGCATTGGTGTGAAAGTGTCAGATCCCCTGGAACTGGATTTTCAGACAGTTGTGAGCTGCCATATGGGTGCTGGGAATTGAACCCAGGTCCTCTGGAAGAGCAGTCAGTGTTCTTAACCGCTGAGCCATCTCTCCAGCCCCTTGTTTGTTTATTTTTTGAGACAAGGTTTCTCTGTGGCTTTGTAGCCTGTCCTGGAACTAGCTCTTGTAGATGAGGCTGGCCTCGAACTCACAGAGATCCACCTGCCTCTGCCTCCTGAGTGCTGGGATTAAAAGCATGCACCACCACCGCTCAGCCATATTTCCTCTTTTTACCTGATACTACCATAAAGTTTTACAGACATTGTCTTTCTCGATGAGCCTAAGAGAAAAGTTATAAGTTATAAAGTTTATAAGAACCCTCTCTGGGAGTATATAATCCTACATCTAGAAAGGCTGGGGCAGGAAGGTCACAAATTCAAGATCAGACTGATTAACTTAGTGAGATCCTAAGTCACTTAGGATCCTGAGTCACTTGACTCAGAAGCCAAGTGAGTTCTGTAGTAGGTCACTCATTTAGCATACACAAGCCCTGTACACAAAAGAACCTTTGCTGGTGGGCAGTGGTTTCTCAGGCCTTTAATCCTAGCACTAAGGAGGCAGAGACAGGTGTGCCTCCAAGAGTTCAATGATGTAGGAGGGTCTTCTATCTATCTGCTGCTTTCATTGGTTAATTAATAAAGAAAACTGCTTGGCCTGATAGGTCAGAACATAGGTAGGCCTGATAGGTCAGAACATAGGAAGACAGAACAGAATTGTGGGAGAAAGAAAGCAGAGGCAGGCAGACACCATGATTCTCCAGCCCAAGACGGACGTAGGTTAGAATCTTGCCATTAAGCCACAGTCTCTTGGTATTACACAGATTATTAAAAATGGGTTAATCAAGATGTGAAAGTTAGCCAATAAGAGGCTAGAACTAATGGGCCAGGCAGTGTTTAAATGAATACAGTTTCTGTGTAATTATTTCGGGAAAAGCTAGCCGGGCGGCGGAAAGCGGCCCACTGCTCCTAATTACAACAGTTCAAGGCCAGCCTGGTCAATCAAGTGAGTTCCAGGACAGACTATAAAACTACAGAGAAACCCTGTCTCAAAACAAAACAAAAAAACCAATGCCTTTAACTCCAGCATACCAGAGGTAGATGGATCTCTGTGTGTTTAAGGCCAGCCTGGTCTACAGAGTGAGTTCCAGGACAGTCAGAACTACACAGAGAAACCCTGTCTCAAAAATAATAACAAGGGGCAGGAGAGATAGCTCAGAGGTTAAGAGCACTGACTGCTAGGGGCTGGAGAAATGGCTCAGTGGTTAAGAGCACTGACTGCTCTTCCAGAGGACCCGGGTTCAATTCCCAGCACCCACATGGCAGCACACAACTGTCTGAAAATCTGGTCCAGAGGACCTGACACTTTCACACCAATGCACATAAAATAAAAGATAAATAAATCATAAAATTAAAAAAAAAAGAGCACTGGCTGCTCTTCCAGAGGACCTGAATTCAATTCCCAGCAACCACATGGTAGCTCACAACCATCCATACTTGGGAGGCAGCAGGCAGGTGAATCTCTGAAGTTCAAGGCAAGCCTAGTCTACAAAGTAAGTTCCAGGACAGCCAAAGATACACAAAGAAACCTTGTCTCGAGGGGCTGGAGAGATGGCTCAGCAACCACATGGTGGCTCACAACCATCTGTAATGAGGTCTGGTGTCCTCTTCTGGCCTGCAAGCATACATGTAGACAGAATATTGTATACATAATAAATAAATAAATATTAAAAAAAGAAACCTTGTCTCAAAAAACCAAAAATAAATAAACAAATCAATAAATCATTTTTTAATCAATGGAGGGAAACACCTAATACTTAGACAAACAGGGGCTAGAGGGTTGGAGAGATAGTTCAGAGTTTAAAAGCACTGGCTCCTTTTTTAGAGGATCTAGGTTCAATTCCCAGCACCCACATGGCAGCTCACAACTGTCTGTAACTCCAGTCCCAGGGAATCTGACACCTTCACACCAACGCACATGAAATAAAGTTAAATAAATCATTAAAAAAAAAAAAGGAGCACTGGCTGCTCTTCCAGAGGCCCTGAGTTCAATTCTCAGCACCCACATGGTGGCTCACAACCATCTATGAGATCTGGCTCCCTCTTCTGCCATGCAAGCATACATGCAGGCAAAACACTAAATATGTAATAAATAAATAAATCTTTAAAAAAGAGAGGTTGGAGGTTAGAGAGATGGCTCATCAGTTAAGAGCACTGGCTGCTACTCCAGAGGGCCTAGGTTCAATTCCCAGAACCTACATGGTAGCTCACAACTGTTTGTAACTCCTGTTCCAGGTAATCCAACACCCTCACACATAACATGCAGGCGAAACACCAATGAACATAAAATACAAATAAATTTTAAAAAACAATTAGAAATAGGCAAAGAAACCAAATACGCATTGCCCAAATACGTACGAATCAGCTGTAAGTTCGGGGAAATGATTGACCATCATTGGTCATCATGAAAAGTAAATCAGAACCACAGTGAGATCTGCTCACACCCAGTGGGGCTGCTGGGTAAGGAGATGCTGCTCCTGAGGCAGCTGCCTAGGAGACTGAGATGGTGAGACTGCTTAAGCCTAGATGGTCAAGATTAGCTGGGCAGCACAGTGTGAGCAGCAGCTCAAAGGCTGTTTTGTACTTTATCGCAGGGATTTCTTGTAATTTGCATGCACTACACTGCACTTGTAGAGGCTGGAGGACAGCCTGGAGGTAGTTCTCTCCTTCCAGCATGGGAATCAAGCTCAGGTCCTCAGGCTTGGTGGCAAGCACTGGCCTAGTAGACCCTAAGCCTGATCCCTAGTGCAAAAGTTAGGAAAAGATGGACGTGGTGCCGTGGTGCGTACCCCTTTGACACCAGTACTCAGTGAGGAAGAGGTGGGTCTCTGAATTCAAGGCCAACATGATTTACATACTGAGTTCCAGGCTACCAGAGAAAAAATGACCGTCTCAAGCAAACAAAACAATGAATAAAGCCACGCTAAGCGTGGTAATGCAGACTGACCGTCCTAGCACTTGCCGGCAGGGTCAGAAGGAATGATAATTCGAGTCCAGTCTGGTCTACCTAGCAAATTTCAGTCCAGCCAGGGCTACACAGCAAGGCCTTGTCTCAAAAGAAAGGAAATGAAGAAAGAAAAAAAAGAAAGAAAAGAAAGAGAGAGGAGAAAAACCTGGGCAATGGGGCATGCCTTTAATTCCAGCACTTGGGAGGCAGAAGCAGGCCAGATCCTGAGTTCAAGGCCAGCCTGGTCTACAGAGTGAGTTCTAAGACAGCCAGGGCTACACAGAGAAACCCTGTCTTGGTAAAACAAAACAAGACAACAAGAGCTAGATAATCAGTATAGCAGAGTCAGCAAGCGGGTAAAGCACTTTTCTTTTAAACCTAATGACCTGTTTAATTCCCTGAGCTCACCTATGACAAGGAGACAGCCAATTCCTTGCAAGCTGTCCTCTGACTTTCACATGCATGCCACAGTGACACTATAGTGCACATACACACACAATAAATACATGTGAATGTTTGAATGGTAATAAGTGTTCCTAGCTTATGGTAAAAATGAACCCTCAGTGTATCACTAGTGAGACTGTATGAGGCTACTTGTAGAGTTTGGCAGTTTCTCAAAACAGTAGGATCCTGGATGGAGGTCAGTGGTAGAGTACTTGCCGAGCATGTATGAGGTCCTGGGCTCCATCACCAACACTGTAAAAAATGTATAGACATGTGTGTACATACATATGTATATAATATACATAATATGTTATATATACATCAAATTTACCATATGATCTAGATGTCTACTCAAGAAAAGTAAAAACTGTGACCTCACTAAAACTCCTCCCAAATCTTTCATCATGTCATTATTCCTAGTAGTCCAAAGACTAACTCAGATCCTTATAGCTGATACACAATAATGTAAGAGCAGGAGCTGGGGAGTCTTTCAGTTGGTAAAATGCTGGCTCTGCAAGCATGGGGACTGAAGTTCTTATGCCCAGCACCCATCCAAGGGTTGGGCATAGCAGTGTCCATGTGACACTTCCCAGGTTCACAACCAGTCAAGCAAGCCCCAGGTTCAGTGAGAGACCTTATCTCAAAAATAAATGAAAGGTCTAGAGATATGGCTCAGTGCCCTCACAGAGGGCCAGGGTTCAGTTTCCAGCACCTGCATGGTGACTTACAACCATCTATAACTAATTCCTGGGCTCCAACATCCTCTTCTGACGTCCTGGGACACCAGGCACACACATGGTGCACAGACGCGCAAGCAGGCAAACACTTATATTCACAAAATAAAAACCGTTTAAAAGGAAAATGTGAATCGTGATCAAGAAATCCGAGTGCCACCTCTACCCTCTGCACATGTGCACACACAACATGCACACAAAAATAATAATACAAAGGACTATTACTGAACCAGCAAACAGGAGTGAAGCACCATGGGCAGGACGCATGAACTTTTGAAAACATGGCCATAAGTCAGACAGACACAAAAGGCCACATTTGAGGCCAGAGTAAGTGATTCATAAGGATGGGAAGTAGGGCAGTGCTGGGAGCGGCAACTAAGGAATGCTCCAAGTTTTACTTACTTCCTCGTTGTTTTTTGTGTTTTTAGACAGGTTCTATCTATGTAGTCCTGGCTGTCCTGTAGACTAGACTGCCTCCAAACTCACAGAGATCCATCTGTGTCTGCTTCCTGATGCTGGGATTAAAGGTGTGTGGCACCATACATGGCTACTAAGTCTCCCTCTGTAGCTCAGGCTAGCTTTAGCTTAGGCTAGTTTTGACTCACAGCAATCTACCTGCCTCGGCCTCCCAAGTGTGCTGGAATTACAGGTGTGAACTGGTGAGCTCTTTTTTTCTGTGTAGCCTTGGAGCTTGTCCTGAAACTTGCTCTATAGATCAGGCTGACCTTGAATGTCTGCCTCTGCCTCCTGGGTGCGGGGATTAAAGGCATGAACCACCACTGCCCAGTTGTCTACTGTCTTTTCAATCGCTGTCCTTTTTTTTTATTATTTTTTTAATTTATTATTATTATTATTTTTTAACAGGGTCTCTTCACTGAACCTGGAACTCTCTGGTTCAACTAGACATGGCCAGCCGACTCCCTGGATCTTCCTACCTCCACCCCAGCACTGAGATTACAAATGTGTGCTACTATGTGCTTTTATGTCTGTCTTCCAAGTCCCCGAATTTATTTTAGAATGCTGGGGATTCATGCATGCCTGGCACACACTCTACCACTGAATACACACACCACCAGAACACTTTTTTTTTTAAACTTTTTTTTAAGATAGTTATTTATTTATTTATTTATGTACACAGTATTCAGCCTCTACGAATGCCTACAGGCCAGAAGAGGGCGCCAGATCTCATTACAGATGGTTGTGAGCCACCATGTGGTTGCTGGGAATTGAACTCAGGACCTCTGGAAGAGCAGTCTTAACTCTTAACCTCTGAGCCATCTCTCCAGCCCCACCAGAACACTTTTGAACCATTTTCATCATACAATTGAGAGGTATCACATTCAGAAAACCTGCAACTCTTTCTAGAATGTCACTCAAAGCAGAAACTCTGTACCTACCCATAAGTAACTTCTTACCTCCCTCTCCAAGCCCCCCCCAACCACTACTTCTGAATTAACCCAGTCAAGATATGTCTAGTCATATAGTATTTTCTTTTTTTCTTTTTTCTTTTTCTCTCCTTTGGGTTTTTGAGATGGGTTTTTCTGTATATCTCTGACTGTCCTTGAACTTGCTTTGTAGACCAAGCTGGCCTTGCATTAACAGAAATCTGCCTGCCTCTGCTTCCCAAGTGCTGGGATTAAAACTGTGTGCCACCACTGCCAGCTTAGTATTTTTCCTCGCATATTTGATCCTTCACTTCATGGACTTCCACAGTTTGTCCATGAATTGTGGGATGGTTGGTAATCCTCTATGGAATTAGTACAGAACGTTTTGTTGACTCATCTCGGACTCAGGGAGCTCATTTCCAGGGGTGTATGTTGTGAATGATGGCGTGAGGACACAGCCACGCAAGTCCCTGATTCAGTCCCTGTCCTCAGGCCTTCTGATACACGCACACACAAGTGGAATTAACGAGCTATGCAAATGCTTAACAACTGAGGAACTGCCAAGCCGATTCTCACAAGTGGATCTACTATTTTACATTGCCACCCATGTTAGGCTTTTTGTACTGTGACAAAAACCTGAGAGAAGTTATTCAAAGAAGGGAAAAATTTGCCTTTAATCTTAGCACTTGGGAGGCAGAGGCAGGCAGATCTCTGTGAATTCCAGGCAAGCCAGGGCTACCTAATGAGACCCTATCTCAAAATAAAAGGGGGAAGCTTATTTTGACTTATAATTTTAGAGGCTTTAGTCCATAATATGTTAATTCCATGACTTTTAGACTCAGAGCAAAGCAGAAACATCACAGCACAAGGAAATTGGAGAAAAACCTGTTCACTTCATCCAGGAAGCTGCCGAGAGCTAGGCACAGGGACATGTCCCTGAGACCCTCTGCCTCCATGTAGACTTACTTATCTTCCACAGTTTCTCTACTTTCTAACAGTCACTCCTGTTTGGGCTCCAGCATTGGATTAAGTCACTGATTAGAGCCCTCAAGTACCAGTCCCCTATAGAAACCCTGTCACAGACAAACCCAGATGCATGTTTTCCTAGTCTAAGTATCTCAGTTTGAGGAAGTCGACAGACCAACCATTTGAGCAAAGCCCAGTGGAGCACACCTCTAACTCCACTATTAAGGAGGTTGAGACGGAAGATGATAAATTCAAGTAAGATCAGTTTAGACAGTATGTAAGCTACAATTGACTATCACAACCAGTTTTGACCTTAACATGTCATTTTTGCTTAATTGCAGCTCCTGAGCTGATGGAATGTGTAGTTTCGTTGTAGTTTTAAAGCAATTTTCTAATGACAGAGGATGATGACCAATTTTTTTCTCTGGCCATTTATAAATACTGTACCAATGATCTGCAAATATGTTCTCCCTTCATGAAGAAATGATTTATAGAATTGCCATGATGTGCTTATGTCCCTCCCCCCACTTCCTTTTCCTCTCCCCTTTCTCTCTTTCTCCCCTTGCTTCACTTTCTGTGGACTGGTAACACATGTGCTAGCACTATCCTTACTATCGTCTAAGATAATAAAAATCTTCTAAAAATCATACAATTATGAACATATAAAAGTCCACTGAATACCCAAGTATGGCAGCACATACTTTTAATCCCAAGCACTTGGGAGGCAGAGGCAGGCAGACCTCTATGAGTTCTGGGACAGCCTGGTCTCTATCGCAAGTATCAGGCCAGCCAGAGCTACACAGTGAAGCTGCCATCTCCAAAACCAAATAAATCCATATAATTGAATTCCCTCTCCAGAACAAGCCTTGATTTTTATCACTTTTAAAAGTCTCACATTTATTTCATTTTCTGACCCTGTGATTGTGACTTTACCATGCTCACAATTTTCTGCCCCTCTGTAAGGAAAGCATGCTTAGTTCTGCTGCTGACACAGCCCACACGGAAGGAACACTGAGCCCGCTGACAGGTTAGACAGTCTCACACGGACGTTAGGTCTCAGAGCACAAACCCCTCCAAGTCCACCTGGCTACACACCATGATGGATTCTGCTTTCCCAACCTTCATGTCATGAGGTGGGGGGAACGCAGCTGGAGACAGCCCAGTTTTGTTAGAGGCTCTGCAGGAGGGAAGTCGATGGTGTATTTTAACACCGACCATTCACAGAGTCTCTAAAGAATTTTAGTGTGTGCAAGTGTGCCAGGCATGCATGTGGCGATCAGAGGACAGCTTGCAGAATCAGGCTCTCCTTCCACTATGACCTCCTTTCTCAGGGATCAAATTCAAGGTCACCCAGGCTGGGCAGTTAAATGCCTTTACCTGCTGAGGCAAATGTGGTGGTACGGATGAGCCCAGAGGCTCATGTGTTCAAATACTGGATCCCCAGATGTTGGAACTGTTTGTCACAGGGGTGGGTTCCACCATCCCCAGAGCAATGAAGATCTGAGCTCTCAACTGCTGCTCCCACGCCATATCTGCCAATCTGCTGCCATCCTGCCTGTCGTAATGGTGATGGACCCCTGTCCCTCTGGAGCCATGAGTCCCAAATAAACCTTTCCTTTGAGAAGTTGCCTTGGTCACAGTGTTTATCACAATGGCAGAAAATTAACAAAGCCAGGTGGTGGTGGTGCACACCTTTAATCCCAGCACTTGGGAGGCAGAGGCAGGCGGATCTCTGAGAGTTCGAGGACAACATAGTCTACAAGAGCTAGTTCTGTCTCAAAAAAAAAAAAAGTTATTTAAAAGAGAAGATTGGGGGCTGGAGAGATGGCTCAGAGGTTAAGGATGTTGACTGTTCTTCTAGGGGTCCTGAGTTCAATTCCCAGCAACCACATGGTGGCTCACAACCATCTACAATGAGATCTGGTGCCCTCTTCTGGCCTGCAGGCATACATGGAGGCAGCACACTGTATTGTATACATAATAAATAAAATCTTTAAAAAAAAAAAAAAAGAGAAGGTTACAATTAGGAGAGCGTGTGCTTGTTCCTTTTTTCCCCAGGTTACCATCAGAAAGCATGTTTCCTTCTTTACCCCTCAGACAGAACAAGCATAACCCTCAGATAGACAGGACTTTCTCCTAAGCTGTCGCGGCTGTTTTTGCATATCCTGGGTGCTGACTGGAGGCCTCCACCCAGTCGGAAATACAATCCCCAGGTAAAAGGAAAATTGCCTCCTTGCAAGTTGACCTTTGACTTCCACATACATGTACCCCCCAACACACAAAATAAATATGCAAAAATATAGGAAAAATAATCTGAACTCATTTATTACTTCTGGGGATGTAAAGAAAGTGGTCCCCTTTACTCTGATAGATGGTTGGCCAATCTTACAAAACTAAAAACATGGACTCAGTAGAACGCCAACAAGCCCCAAGGTTGTGGGGAGGACAGTCAAGACTGCTGGGACTCGCTGCCTTTCCACTTAGCCAAAACAGGAGCCTCAGATTCAGGGAGAGACCGTGCCTCAAAGGAACAGGCAGAGAGTGATAGAGACGCACACCCTCCATCCTTTTCTGGCCTCTGTGTGCATGCACAAGTGTGTGTATACATACACATGTATGTACATTCACACAGATGATAGATATAGCACCCTCAAAAGGGCAAAATTGTAATGCTGGGTGGTGGTGGTGCACACCTTTAATCCTAGCACTCAGGAGGCAGAGGCAAGCGAGTTTCTGAGTTAAAGGCCAATCTGGTCTACAGAGCAAATTCCAGAACATCCAGGGCTACACAGTAAAACCCTGTCTCAAAAGAAAAAAAAGAAAAAGAAAGAAAGAAAGCCAAGACTATGAAGACAGTGAAAGGCTGGGTGATTTAGACTAGACAGACGGCTCTGTGCCTGCCCCAGCGGTATGAGACCTGACTTCATAGCTTCGGCACCCACATAAAAGCCCAGGCACAGCACTGCACTCCTGCTGTTCTAGAGCTGGGCAACAGCGACAGGCAGATGCCTGGAGCTCACTGACTAGCCAGTCTCATCAGACTATTAAGTTCCAGATTCCGTGACAAACCCCATATCAATAATAATAATAAAAGGTAGAGAGTGACAGAGGAAGAGCCCTAATATTCACTTCTGGCCTCCATACACATGTGCACAGATCAAAAGCAATACATACATACAATGCATACACACACACACACACACACACACACACCAGTGGCTGTCAGGAGTATAGGCAGAACACAAAGAATTCTTCCCCCTTGAGACAAGGTCTCACGCAGCAGAGGCTGGCCTTACACTGACCATAAAGGCAGAAATGACCTTGAATTTTTGATCCTTCTGCCTCCACCTCCTGTGATTACAAGCTGCAGCTCTAGCTCTACAAGTGGCTTTTAACAATCCACATTTGGTGAACCCTGCTTTGCAATATGATTCCAAGACAACCCCTTAGCTGCTTCCTTTCAACTAGGCCTGGGTTTGGCCAATCACTGATGTTGTCTACCATTGCAAACACTGATTACATGTGAGGTTCTGGGAGTGGAAGGAATATCAGGAACTTCTGCCCTTGAGCACACTATCACAGTGCCTGTGAGAGGCAGGACCCCGGCACTGGAACAGAATCAGGGGGTCTGGGTCACAGGGTCTGTGAGAGGCAGTGTTCTTGACACTGGAACAGAGCCCAGGAGTCCAGGTGGAAAGGTGCAATGCAAACACTCACCACGGGAAGCCAGGGCAATGCAGCTTGTGTGCACTGTTTCCTGCCAAATAGGAGAAATGGAAGCCTCCAGGGTTGAGGACCAAGGGGGTCAGGTCGACCATGTGGCTGCAAGATAGGAAAGAAATGGGGTGTTGGCATTGGGCCCACCACAGCATCAGCATGCTTCTCTGTAACACAGGTCCAAGGGGCCCATCAGTCCACACTCTCGGAAATAAGCACAATCACCACCCAAAATTGTGAGAATTGAGAGGTTGAGACAAAATAACCATCCAGTCTGGCACTCATGATGCCCCCCTCCCAAAGGCTTTTCCACCTCTTAGAAGTTGATGAAAGGCTATTCCAGTTTAATTTCACTTCAGACCTGGAAATATCCAGTTTCTCCATCTACAAGAAACAAAGAAAAATCTCAGGACAGAGTGGAAACTGCACTTTCCCACACAGAAAAGCAGTCCTTGCACAGGAAACGAGAAGATGGTGGTGGGGAACTGAGGAAGCCCTACCCCCAAGGCAAGGGTTACCGGGAAGAAGAGGGCTGCTGGAGAAGGGGCACCTGAACTGAGAGACATGGGATAAACAGCAGCCCAAAGATGCAGACGGGGGCAGAGGAGGGATAACACCCTGAGAGGCAGGGATACGGATAAGATGTGAGGCAAGCCTGTGGTTTTCCTCCTATTCTCGGGGACATCCCAAGTCCTGGGTTGCTGGCTCATAGAGGACAGGAGGTGGAACTTTGTGCCATTTACCTCTGTAGTGGCCCTCAGCTAGGGAAGCCCCCACTTATCTGTTTGACCTGCTGCTAGTGCATACCCAAAGCCTGTCTGAGAGAAGCCCCCTTCTGCAGAGATCTGAGAACCACTGCTGTGGGCAAGCCCGGAGAAGCCACCCTCCTAGCACTGGACTAGAGCATGTTCCCACTGACCGGCTTGCCAGACAGTGGAGGAAAGGGGCCAAAGACCCTGGGCATAGTGTAGACAGAAGGTGACGCAGCCACTACAGAGGCCATGGTGGTGACGGGTAGCGGTGGCGGTGGCAATGGCGGCGGCAATGGAGCTGGTGGCAGGCATGGGGAGGTTGACTGGTCTCGGAAGATGACAGGATCTGCTCTCTTTGGTTTCAGCTTCCTCCTCCTCCTCCTCTTCTTGGCACCTGCATCAAATGGTGTAGTGAGAACTGACCCCCTGGGCAGTAGGACCCAAACACAGTGACACAAGGGTCATATATCTATCTCTCTAGCAAAGGAAAAGCCTTTCCGGGCCTTTCAGAAAATCCTGGGACAAAACTCAGAGGCAGCACTGACCGGTACCAGCAGACATTAGCTCACCAGCCACCCAACATCTTAGAGAAAGGATCCAAATTCAATCTCTCTCTTTCTCTTTCCATCTGCCTCCACCACCCCCCACCCTCCGACAGGCTCTAACATACCCGAGGCTGGCCTATAACAGCAGCTGACAGTCACCCTAAACTTGTGATATTCCTACCTCCGACCTCCAGGTTGCTGGGATTATATAAACACAGTTTTCGTGGTTCTTGGGATTAAACTCACAACTGCGTGTGCTAGGCAAAAGTATTCTAATAGAGCCATATATTTGTCCTACTTACGTCTCTTACAGACAGAGTCAGATACCCTATCTGACTACGTTTAGGCACATAACTGTATCTAGGCAGAATCCATGCCAAGATGTCTAACTTTAAAGGTACAATTTTGTTTTTTGTTTTTTTTCGGGGGGGATAATAGAGAAATAATAGGCTGGGTGGTGGTGGCACATGCTTTTAATCCCAGCACTCGGGGTTGTTTAGAGACAGGATTTCTCTGTAGTTTTGGATCCTGTCTTAGAACTATGCTAGTTTCAAACTCACAGAGATCTGCCTGCCTCTATCTCCTGAATGCTGGGATTAAAGGCGTGCACTACCACCACCTGACTATGGGTACAAAGGAAATGTTAGAATGAACCAGGCCCTGTAGGGTAACCTGCTGCCTCCCCAGGCAAGGCTTGTGGGTTTGCCAACAGCAGCAAGGATGGCCAGGCCACAGACAGTGAGCCCTCAGCCTACACCCAGGCCTCAGAGGCATGTGGGGATGGAAAAGGAAACCCATAGTGAGGTCTTGGCAGGGTGGAATAACTGGAAGGAGCCTGAGCCAAGTCCTACTCAAGGCTATGGATAGCACTGAATGAGCCTCCAAAATGCATCTGAGTGTTAAAGCGCACCTCAGACAGCACATCAGAAGAGTTCATTAGCTGGATATGGTGGTGTAGGCCTGTAATCCCAGAAATCAGGAGATAGAGGCTAGGGGATCCGGAGTTCAAAGTTAATCTCAGCTACATATCAAGTTTAAGGTCAGTCAGGGATATGTGAGGCCCTGCCAACAAGCTGGCTCAGCAAGGAAAGGTGCTTGCCACCAAGCCTGATAACCTGAGTTGTGGTAGAGAGAATTAAATCCTTGCAAGTTGTCCTCAGCCACCCACATACACACCATGGAAAGTGCGTGTGCGTGCACACACACACACACTAAATAAATGTAACAGAAAGGCTGGAGAGATGGCCCAGTGGTTAAGAGCACTCTTTGCCCTTGCAGAAGACCTGCGTTCAGATCCCAACACTCAAGTCAGGTGGCTCACAACAACCAGAAACTCCAGCTGTAGGGAATCCAATGCCCTCTTGTGGCTTCTACAGATAGCTGTACAAGTACATGGGATATGTGCCTATGCACATGCGTGCCAGCGCACGTGCACACACACACACGTAATGCATTTAAAAATGCTTAAATTTTTAAAATAAATGTTAATAGAGAAATAATAGGCTGGGTGGTGGTGGCACATGCCTTTAATCCCAGCACTCGGGAGGCAGAGGCAGGTGGATCTCTGTGAGTTCGAGACCAGCCTGGTCTACAGAGTGAGCTCCAGGACAGCCAAGGCTACAAATGAAACCCTGTCTCAAAAAAGATGAAAAAAATGAAAGAAAGAAAGAAAGAAAGAAAGAAAGAAAGAAAGAAAGAAAGATCTGAGTTCAGATTCCCACTGCCTACAGAAAACACAGGGCAGGGTAGGGTAGGGCAGCACAGAGCTGTAATCCCAGCACTCTGGGGGTAGATACAGACAGATGCCTGAAGCTCGCTGGCCAGTCAGCCTACCCAAATCAATGAGCTTCAGGTTCAGTGAGAGACCTTGTGTCCAAATACAAAGATGGAGGAGGAGAGCAGAAAGCCAGATGTGCTGGTGTCCATCTTTAGTTCCAGGCAGGGCTGGTCTACACAATGAGTTAGTTCCAGAGCTAGCCAGAGCTACAGAGAGAGAGACCCTGTCTAAAAAATAATAAAGAAAGAAAGAAAAGAAAAGAAAGAGAAAGAGAAAGGGGCCAGCAAGATGGTTCACTGGGTAAGAGTACTTGCTATGTAAGTCTGACAACCTGAATTTGATCTCCAGATGCTACAGTGGAAGAACTGACACCTGCAAGTTAACCTCTGACCTCTACATGTGTGCCTTACACACATACTCATGTGTGTATATAGACACATACAACAATAATACTTTGTTTTAGAGCCAGGTGTGGTGGTTTTTCTTCCTTTCTGTCCCCTGTCCTCCTTCCTGCTCTTCACTAAACATGATCCGAGAGGGGTAAGTGAAACCTGGAGAGGAGAGGTGGGCACTTCAGATGTCACCAACCTGAGCCTCATATATACTGCCATGTTGATGGGAATTGAAATGGGAACGGCTGCCCTGGGCTCAGATTACCAAGGGCTCACACCTTCAGTAGTTGATCCTCACCCCGGGAATACACGTGTACACGGTGGATGCGCCACTTCAGCTGCTCCAGGCGCTGATGCATCTCCAGGGCACCCATGCTGTTGCAATGGTTCAGTTCCCCCTGGACAGCACAGACAAACTTCGCCTGCAATAGCGATTGCGGAAAGGCGAGAAGCCAGAAGCGAGTCGCTTGCCTGCTTTATCCCAGGCTTGGCATCCTTGGCTTCAAAACAGACCCTTTCGGCTGCCCCAAGCATCCACATATCCTGTTAGCTGACCTCCCCATCCATTCCTAAGCCAAAACCCCACCCTCAAAGATCCTCCCTAAGAAACAGCAGGTGGAGGTGGGGGCCTTCCGCACCCAGAGGCCGGAGAGGAACCCACGCTGTTCCATCTCAGTCTGCTTGCCCTTGCGAACGACCCTCTCCGCCAGCGCTGGGTTGCGGTCCAAGCAGCGGAAGAGGCGGCGCAGCGCGCGCTCTGTGTAGGTCGCTGCTTGCCTCTCGAAGTCGTCCTCGGAGATGAGTTGGCAGAAGGTCACACTCTGGGGGAATTCGTTGTCATACTCGTCCAGGACTTCCATCGAGAGGGACTACTGGTGGTGGGCTGCTGCTGCCTGGGGGCGGAGCAGCAGTCAGGGCAGAGCTCCTGGGGCAAAGGGACCCTCCCAAGGGCTAGGACCGAGGTACCGAAAGGTGACAAGAGCCCACTGGGGCAGTGACTGCAGGATGTACCCACCCTCCCAACAGCCGCAGTGCAGACTCCAGTTCCCCAGACTACCCGCCCCCTTCCCAATCTACCCTAGAATCAGGGGGCGGGGCCAGCGCCAGTACACGTGACAATGCCCACCTTTCCAGGCATGCGCACTGGTGTGCTCTCCCTCCCCAAGCCTCCTGACCACCCAGGAGGTACCTTGGGGATTTTGCTCTTCTGAGCCGCGGTGCTCTCCCAGTTTTTTGTTCCCTCCCGACCCGGCCATACCAGTCTGTTCTGGCAATTGAATCTGGCTTCCAGTTCACCGAGGCAATATCCAAAAGGACTTCCTTCTGCCCTCAAACGCTTTAACATTGGCTTTTGCACCCTCTCAGTTTCCTGTACTACTCTGCAGCTTTTACACACGTTCCTCTCCGGATCAGGTCCTGATCTCTTCTTCATGACCACTTCTCTTTTTGTTGTTTGTGTTTTTGTGTAGTTCTGGTTATACGGGGAAACTATTGTAGACCAGGCTGATCTCAACTTCTGCTTGTCTCTGCCTCCCGAATGATGGGATTAAAGGTGTATGACAGCATGCCCAGATTCAAGACCATTTTGCTTTATCTTGATGCCCTCCTGTTCTGTCCTCCTAGCCCCTGTGCTACATTTCTGAACGTTTTATTCACCTGCCTCTTGACAGCCAACCTAAAACCTCCAAGGTCCAGCCCTCCCTTAAGCGCCAGGCCCACACCCAAGATATGTACAAGTAAGGACTCAGGGGCATCTCAGAAAGGATGCTTTCATGCTTGCATGAAAAGTTGCTGGTGTGCATCCACCATGGCCACTAGGGAGGATGGATGCCAGCTACTTCTTCATGATCAAAGCCCTCCCTCCATCAGGCCTGAGACCCATATATGTAACAGCAGTTCCCCTACGGGCACCAGGACGTGGACAGCTAGAGTAGGATTGTCAAGCCAGGGTGAAGGCTATTCCCCAAAGCCAGTCTTGAAGTCTGGGCCTCCTTTCAAGGAGATGGGCCTGACCAACTAACACTGGATTTTTTTTTTTTTTTGAGGGAAGGGCATTAAAACAGCCTCACCATGTAACTCTGGCTGTCCTGAAATTTGAGATGTAAATAGTCTTGTCTTCAAATTCACAAAGATCCACCTACCCATGTCTTCCCAGTGCTGGGTTCAAAGGCATGGGCCTCCACACCCAGCTTCTCACTGGGTCTTGTTGGTAAAAGTAAGTACCAAGCAAATTCCGGGAAAGGCTTCCTTAAAAGTTCAGCTCTAGCCCTGCCTGGAAAGCAGGCATGCTGGACACCTCACTGTCCCTCCTATTCAGGACATACCCTCCTGTAAAAGAGCAAGCAGCATGGTGAGCAGGCATCCTCTGCAGGCTCCCTATGCCAAGTCTATTCATCCATCCTAGGCATCCTGATAAGCCCCGAGACCCAACATAATGGCCCTGGTGTGCGCCTTCTCATGTCTCCTCCCAAACACCACTCAGAATCGTCTCTCTTCACCTTGTTATCTTCAGGCACTCAGGAAGGCTGAGTGCTGTTCTTCCCGGTGCAGCCAAAGCTGAGAAAGGCACAGAAACCATTTCCATACAAAGAGGTGAACATCTGTTTCTCCTCAAGCTCCTGGAGCCCAGAATTTTTATTTATTTATTGGTTCTTGAGACAGCATTACATAAATAGACCAGGCTAGCCTCAAAACTGAAGCAATCTTCTTGCCTCAGCCTCCAGACATGAGCCACCACACCTAGCATGGACTACCTAATCTTAACCTGGGGAGTCAAGAGCTTGAAACCAGAGCCTTTCCAAATCTGGGATCTCATCTTTGTACTGGTTTCAGCCTTGGAGTATGATCCCCAGAATCAGCCTTATTCTCTCAGCTAGGGAGTCTCATCCAACCTTGCCCCAGGAATCCAAGCCCTCCCTTTGGGTCCCTCAGGCTTCTCAGCGAGGGAGTGAGAGTAGCGTGGGTGTTGGGCAGGGCCTGACAGACGCCCTTTCGTCATTGCACTGCTCCCCAGTGGCCCACAGTAGTGCAACAGGGAAAGAGTGTCCAGCCAGCCTGTTGGCCTCTCCGGTGGGGGTGGGGTGGGATCTTAGACCTAGAAGGCAGGCCTACCTGGGCGGAGCCTCTGCCTGGGTCAAAGGTGCCCTCTGACCCCAGAGACACAGGCCTGGCTAGAATCTCAAGTTTCCATGGAGAACAGAGTAAAATGAGCAGGGGGAAAGAAAGGCCTGCAGGCCTGAGAGGCCCGGTCAGGGAAGGGGGGGAGGGTTGTAGTGAAGAAGTGTTCTACAAGGCTGGTCCCAGATGCTTTGACAATATCATTGCACTGCTTCTCAGAGCACAGTAGTGCAACCTAGTCAGAGCACCTGCAGCCAGCAGACAATCCATCACCCTCATTGTGTACAAGGCTAGAAGTTCAAGCACCATAGGTGGGTGGGACCTCTGTCCAAGACTTGGAGCACAGAAGGGATTCCAGCCGGGACCAGTCCTCTGGGTCTTAGGAACTTCAGAGCACCCAAACTTTCCCCAACATGGTTCTTTTCTGGTGAAAGACACTCCCAAGAGAGAACTTAAGGGCAAGCATCCGAGGGGGCTCACATACAAAGGAGGAGAATCAGCGCTCAGCCCCAGGGGGAGCACAGTGGGGTTAGCTCGTACCGTTTCAGCCTGGAGCTCCTTCTAGAATAAGAGGGGTGGCTCACTCCTAGCAGGTGAGGCCCTTGGAGTTACAGACCTGGTCGTTGATCCGTTCCCCCAGTATGAGTCCTGCATTCCACCCTAACAGATTCTTCCGCCAGGAGGAGGAGAATGAGGGCTTCAAGCCATCTGGAGTTCCCTGCCGGGAGGGCCCCTACCCTCACCGCATCCCCCACCTCAGACCAACTACTCACATGGACAGACACCCCTTGTTCCCATGGTGGCGACAAAGCGAAGGTTAGTGGAAGGAGATCCTGGTTGTCGACAACCCTGTCCTACTCGGACAACCCCGCACCTCGTGGCACCCTCTCGCCGGTGGGCTCCATCTTTAACCTTCTGACAGTCCCAAGGGCCGAGCCCCAGGGCTCAAGCAAGGCACAGCGCCAGCCTCATTGGCTTGCGCCAACACCAAGCTTCGCCTCCTGCACACCTATTGGCTGCTGCTGGAACGATTTCAAAATAGCCTCCGGGTTCCGATTGGCTAGGCGCCCAAGTTTTTGCTCCGCCGTTTTGACAATGAGTTCTACAAACACTTTCTCATTCATAACTTATGGAAAGGAGCTCTGCCCGCCTTTTCCCAGCTTGCTTCTCTGTAAGAATTGTTGTGATACTCGTGAGGGCGCGTCCACGTTCGCCACACAGCTCACCAGATAAAGTAGGGTGCTAAGATCCCAGGAAAGGGCCTGCGCCACTGGCCACGCCAGCGATTGAATGGGCCCTTAAGTTCCTTTAGGATGGGACAGTCACCTGAAGACTGTGGCCTTCCCTCTTTCTTTCCAACTTTTCAGAGGGCCCCATGAGGGAACCCCCAGCTGGGCTGAAGAGGCCCTGGTATATGTAAAGGAAGGAAATGATCTGATGTGGTTGGGATTGGAAACCCCTTTGCTGCTAAGTGGCAAAGTTTACACATCACCTAGCACACAGAACCGGGAGAGCTCTACTCGGGTGTGTGTTGAGGATGGGAGAAACGTGCTTTTACAACTGGCATCTGTGCCTTCTCATGTTTTACTCCAGTTCAATGGCTGGGAGAAATTTTTTTTAACTCTATTTAATTTTATGTACGAGTACTCCGCATGTACACCTGCGTGTCAGAAGAGGGCATCAGATCCCGTTGTAGATGGTCATGAGCCACCATGTGGGTGCTGGGAATTGAACTCAGGACCTCTGGAAGAGCAGCCGGTGCTCTTAAAGGCTGAGCCATCTCTCCAGCCCCCTGAGAAGATGTTTTTAGAAACAAGAGTTGGCTTTCAATCTTGAGGAACGTATGTTGCCCAGTTTATTTTAAATTTATGTGTGTGGGTATTCTGCCTGCATGTCTGTGTGCTACTTATTTATGTGTGCCTGGTGTTCAGGGAGGCCAGAAGGTATTCAATCCTCTGAAACTTGGAATTATAGATGGTTGTAAGCCACCATGTGGATGTTGGAAATGGAGTCCAGGTCCTGTGGAAGAGCAGCCAATGCTCCTAACTGCTGAGCCATAATCTCTTCAGTCCCAACAGTGTCTTATCTTCTTTGGGGGAAAAATGCTGTTGGTTTTGGAGACAAGGCCTATCCTGTGCCATTGGGGCTGGCTGAGAACTCACTGAATTCTCAAGGCTAGCCTTAGGTTTATGGTAATCCTCCTGGGTCTCTGTAGTCATAGGCCACAATACTTTGCCTCTCCATACTGATGCAAAGCAAAACACCCAGAAATCCCAGCATTTGGAGAGTGGAGAGAAGAGAATCAGAAGTTCAAGACCAAGACCAGCCTGACCAGCCTGAGCTACTATCTAAGGGTAGGCCACTCTGGAGAGATGGCCCAGTGGTTAAGACGGCTGACTGCTCTCCCAAAGGACCCAGGTTCAATTCCCAGCACCCACAAGCTGTCTCACAACCATCTGTAGCTCCAGTTTTAGGGGTTTGATGCCCTTTTCTGGTTTCTGCAGACAAAACACCCACACATATAATAAAAATGAAAATAGCCAGGCGGTGGTGGCGCATGCCTTTAATCCCAGCACTTAGGAGGCAGAGTTCAAGGCCAGCCTGGTCCACAAGAGCTAGTTTCAGGGCAAGCTCCAAAGCTACAGAGGAACCCTGCCTCGAGAAAAGTAAATAAATAAATCGATAGATTTTAAAATTAAGTGTTTTGCTGCTGCTGCTACTGTCGCTTTTAGGTTTGGTCATGTTCTGCATTCTGCATGGAAGCAGCTCTTCTGCTGCAGAAGCCAGAAGCACATTGGTTACCCAAGATCCCTACCTGCTGTGCACGTGAGCTCCTCCCCAACCAGCATTCCAATGCCTCCCTCCGTGCCTAGGTGGACAGGAAGAGTACCCCCTTACAGGTACAGGGTGGAGCAATGCTGGCATGTTCCACCGCAATCGTGGCTCTCAGAAAAACAGCCCACCTGTGATACTATGTGGGGTTTTCTGGCGGGTGGAGCCCTTAGCCAGTACACAAAGTAACAAGTGCTACTTGAGCAATTGCTCGCCCCCAGTCGGCCGCCCCCAGTCAATGAGAGACTACTTTGGCAGGTGCATATCCTGGCTCCTTCCTCTCAGGTGATATGATAGTGAGACTCCCCAATGAAACTGAGTACTAGGGTGGACCAGGGCCCCACAATGCACCTTTCTCTCCCGCTTGCTCAGTCTCACAGCTCTGCCCACCATTTACTGGAATCCTCTCCTAATCATCTCCTTCCGTCCAAATCCTCTTGATCTCAAGAGATGGAGAGGAATGGAGACGTCTCGATGGAGTTCCAGAGTTTTGGGTCTGGAGAGATGGCTTAGCTGTTAAGTGAGTACTGCTCTTGCAGAGCTGTTAAAATTGGGCCTGAACAAGGTTCCCAGCACCCATCCTAGATGGCTCACAACCACCTGTAGCCCCAGATCCAGAGGATCCAACACCCTCTTCTGACCTGAGGGCACTACACTCATGTGAACATTTATACACACACACACACACACACACACACACAATTAAAAGATAACATTTAAAAGTTTGGCTGCATGGTGGCGCACACCTTTAATTCCAGCACCCGGGAGGCAGAGGCAGGTGGATCTCTATGAGTTATAAACTAGCCAGAGTCACAAAGAAAGACCCTGTCTCAAAACAAAAGTTTGTCAGTGGGAAGACAAGAGTCTCACAGGGGCAGGGGAGTAATGGCCCAAGACATAACCCCCTCCGCTTAGGACTCAATTGACGACAGCTTTTGTCTCACCCACACACTTTAATAAAGACAGTTAGCTGGGCAGTGGTGGCACATGCCTTTAATCCCAGCACTCAGGGATGCAGAGGCAGGTGGATCTCTGTGAGTTTGAGACCAGCCTGATTTACAAAGTGAGTTCCAGGACAGTCCAAGATATACAGAGAAACCCTGTATCGAGAAACCAAAAATAAAGATTTCTCAAATCCATGTGCT